TTCAGGCAAAACTCTGTTGCAGATAACACCAATACTTACTCCTAAAAGCATACAAGGCTCAAGAAGCAAGGCTAAGTCGTAATCAAGCAATGCTTTACCACCAAAGAGATTGCTGATTACATTCGCAATCGATCCCCCGGTTACCATAAAAGCAGAGAAGCTTGAAGCGGTCTTCAAGTCAAGACCTGCAACTATTGTCATGATTGGAATGAATAAACCTCCACCGCCGATTCCACCTGCGCTCGAGATTAAGGCAGCGAGGAAGCATAACACTCCGGCCACAATGATTGCTGAAGATAGCTTCAGTTCTGCAGAACTTGATTCTTTCAGAGATGTTCTCCATTGTTGGACTTTGTGAAGCAGATTATGATGAGACTGTGGTTGGTTTTCTTGTTTTATCGCTTCTTCTTGATTCGCGTTGATCGCGAAAACACATAGAAGGAGGAGAAAAAGGACAAAAAGGGCCTTCATTTTCTTTGCCTCAAAGCTTGAAATGTTTTCTTGTTGGCTTGTGATCTAATAAACCATTGTTGTTCTTTATATTGAAGGTTTCAAAGAGTGGTAAGCACATTACATTTGCAAGTTGCTTTCGGATGAGTAGGCTGCAAGTAATCTCATTGACTTACGTACTAAACAATGAAATTTAAGATAGATATTCATTGATTTACCTGCGATTTGTGGCAATATTCAGAGAGAAGAACAGTTCTAAATAGAAGGTGAAGAAACAGTTATTGTCTGAAACTGTGGAATGTGTCCTTTAAGATAAGAAGAAAATGTTATTTAAATGGTTTTGGATTTGACATGGTGAATGACTGAATGTTTTGTGTAATGTGTTTGAAGTTTGATCCTTAAGACAAGTCTCATCTTTGCATTTTTTAATTTATTAGAAAAAAACAGCTTTCAATTAAGAAGGGGACAAGTACGCAGCGTCTCCTCTGAACTTCATAGAACATGAATTCATCAAAGATCCAGAGGTTGGTCAAATATTAATTTATTCTTTTTGACATTAAAAATGATTATTTTAGAGTTAATTTGTCAAATGTTAATAGGAGCAGTAAATTAAGAAAATGGTAATGATGTGACACATTGTCAATAATGGGTATGACTGGTCATCATATATAGAAGAAAAGAAGCGAGAAGAAAACAAAATTTTCTCAGTTCTTCCATTATTTCACCAGTCAAAAAGATTTTTTCTTCCAGCAGAATTATATCTTTTCTTTTCATTTCCTCCACTTTTACAAAAAACAAGTAACAAATTTCATACCATAAATACATGGTAGAATTTTTTCTTCTTCTAACTTTACTTTTCTTTTCTTCTCTCTTCCTCTTTTTTCTTTTATTCCTATTTCCTCTGAGACATTCTAGACACACCCAATAATTGTTTTTCCCCGATTTTGCCATTCATAAAAGTTTTGTCATGCACTTTGAAAGTTTTTGCAAAAAAAAATTTACTAGTGTTTTAGAGCGTTTACCAAAAAATTTATTTTTTCTTTTGCAAAACCTAAAAATTAGAAACCAAATTTAATACATAAAAATCAAATTAAAATCTAGAATCTAAAAACCACTTTAGAACTCCCAAGCATTCATCGCCTTAGATTTCGACATTAATTAGTAACAATTTTAAAAACATTTACTCGATAGTGAAAGATAAAATCGTTCAAAAAAAATATGTAAGTCACATTACTCTTTGTGTTTTTGTTAATTTTTATATTTTCAATTTCTACGGAATGCAAATACAGTAGTTGGGATCTATACTGGCAATATGATGATTTGGCAAGAGAGGTTTGTCCCCATGCCTTCTTCTATTCCTTTCACGTGCACGCCATATAGCATACGCTAAAGTTTGAAAAACATATCTCTCAAGGAACCGTACGTAGTGAGCGTGTGAGTGAAGAATCTGTGGTGAGGGCAAGAATCTCGTTAAAAGGAGGTAGTGTAACAAGGATCAGTGTTATCGTATTTAAATTTTCTTGATTTTATTTTGACCATAACATGTAATCTATATTATTAATTGGAAATCACTAAATATTAAGTAACCTTATGAAGAGTAAAATATTACAAAAAATGCCATTGGTTTTTAGTATTTTTAAATAACTTCATTAAGGGTACAATAATAATCACAAAATTAATATATTTAATTAAAAATAGTTTAATTCTTTTAAATAATTATTAATTTCCAAAAAAACACTAATTTTCTCTCTTTTATTAATTATAAACGAAAATTTGAAATTAATTTTTAAAAAATTGTTAACCAATAAGAATTGAAAAACTAAGATTTGATATCCAACTAAGATTTTATCTAAACCAATCGTAATAGAATATTCTATATCAAAAAAAAAAGAAAAATAATATCATTTTAATTCAAAATTAAAAACACTATCGTTTAAAAGATTTATCAATGGAAGACTTTAAGATTAAATTTAAAATTAAATACAAATATTTTAAGATTCAGTTTTGTTCTAATATTTTCACAAATTTTAAAATATAAAACAAAATTTTATTTCACAATTTCTAAAATACGATATTAGATATTAACAACTATTTATATTTATGATGAAATAAACTCAAATAATAATAAATTTAAAGTAATTATCATTATAACCTTCGTTTAGAGCAAGTTTGATAAATATCTATCAATAGATTGTATATATTAATTTCTAAATTATTTTGCGTTTTATTTTTTGTTTTTCAACCGGATTTTCCTTAAATAAATCCCTAATATATTGCACACAGTTTTCAAATAATGTAAACTAATTATATATTTTGAATTCAAAACAAATTATGCAGCAATAGCATATCCCTTTTAGAGATGTATCTCAAATTTTTATTTTTAGTCCAAAAATAAAATTAATTATGATTAAACAATAAAAATAAAAATATGCAAAATTTAGCTAAGAAAATAAATATTAATAAATTTGTTAAAATATATTTGTAACTTTAGCGGCATTTATATTAATCTGTAAAACTCACAGTATGTATTGTATGATATTTAAAAGTAAGCAAACAAGAATTTGGAACATAATTTTAATGGAATGAAATGAGAATAGGAATTACGAGACGGGATGAGAGGAGAACATAAATTAAAAATCAAACTAAATACCCAATTGGTATGAGTTCAGGTTATAAGCACTATATAAAATAAATTTGTTTACATACATAACCCTGTACGTACATTTTCAGTTACACATATTCTTTATGTCGGATACTGGACCATCATATTTTTATTTCACATATACGAGACGGTTTATGGGACCAAGAATTTATGACAGATACATGACGGGATAGGTTTCCCGTTCTAAAATAGTTACGCCTAGCTAATATACATGAAATAACCAAACTCAAACCGAATCTAAATCCTATTTAACACATGTAATCAAACTATTAGAAATGTTTTGATTAGTTTAGAAAATAAAAAAGTAACATCATTTAACTTTTGCAACTAAATTATATCTTAATTTTATCTTAAATATAATTATGCACGTACGTGTAGGTGCGGATCTTAAAATATAACTATGCACTAACGTAACTGAATTTCGTTCATTACTCTAATTTTATAATATTTATACTATTATAAAGTTCACTAACACAACAAAATATTTTATATTTTTAAAACATCTCTGTACGTACGCGTGAATCCATATCTAATACACTAAAATATATATCATATAAACAACGAATAATCTATATTAAATTAAAATTTGTTAGAACTTTTTTAAAAATATGAAACCCCGCACGTATATGTGCGGGTCATGATCTAGTATATATATAGTAGCTTTTGTTAACTATGTTGTTATGGCCATAATCTATATTCTTGAAAAACAAAAACAAAAACAAAAAATCTCTACAGTATTTAAAATAACAATCACAACTTTTATAGTTTTGGGAGACTCACAAAAATGCCCCTTTTTCAATATCCCTTTTCAAAAATGCCCCCTTTGGATGTCCATTTTTAAAAATACTCATTTTATGTACAAAATGACTAAATTACTCTTCTTTTAATAAAAGATATCATAAATATATAAGGAAATATAACAAAATTAGGTCCACAAAATACAAAATATTTTTTGGCGGGAAAAGTGATCCCCCAATTTTTTCCGCCAAAACACTTGTAAAAATTTGTAAAACCTTTAAAATACCTTGTGAAATTTTCCCGTAAAATTTTTTCCCGCCAAAAAATTTTCCCGCCAAAAAAATTTTTTTGCGGGAAAAGTGATTCCGCAAATTTTTTGGCGTTAAATTTTTGGCGGGAAAATTTTTGGCGGGAAAAATTTACAAGGTATTTTAAAGGGTTTTTACAGGGTATTTATAAGGTTTTACAATGTATTTTAAAAGGTTTTACAACGGATTTATAAAGTATTCATAAGATATTATAAGATTTTAAGAGCTTTTTTATAAGGTTTTACAAGTTATAAGGTTTTACAAGTTTTTTATAAGGTTTTACAAGTTATAAATACCTTATAAAACCTTATAAGTACCTTGTAAAACCTTTTAAAATACATTGTAAAACCTTACAAAACACTTGTAAATACTCCGTAAAACCTTTTAAATACCTTGTAAATTTTTCCCGCCAAAAATTTTCCCCCCAAAAAAATTGCGGAATCACTTTTCCCGCAAAAAAAAATTTTTGGCGGGAAATTTTTTGGCGGGAAAAATTTTTACGGGAAAATTTTACAAGGTATTTTAAAGGTTTTTACAAGTGTTTTGGCGGGAAAATTGCGGGATCACTTTTCCCGCCAAAAAATATTTTGTATTTTGTGGACCTAATTTTGTTTCAAATAAGGGTAAAATGGTCATTAAAAATTAAAAGAGGGCAAACTTAAAAATAGACTCTCAAAAGGGGCATTTTTGAAAAGGGGTACTGAAAAAGGGGCATTTTTAACAATTTCTCTATAGTTTTTGCTACAAATCAATATTTTAAACAATAATCATAGCTTTTAAAACCAAAATCTCTACAACCAACCAGGTACAACAAAAATTTATAACCATAATTCTTACTCTTACTAATCGGCCTTTATAAGGACATTAACCAAAGACATGAGACTCTCATTATGATTGGGAAACCAATCAATAGTGAGACCGCGGTTATTATCCAAAATTCCATTATGAATCCAGAATTCTTTGTTTCCAATCCCTTCATACTCGATCCTCCTTTCACGCTCTCTCTTTGGATCATAATATATATAAAACATAAAATGCTTCAAACTTTGTTGCAGTAAAAATGAACTCACCAGTATCATGAGTAACACCAGTCAGCTCCAGACTACATTCAAAGATCGGGTCACTTTGAGGAAAGGTTGGAAAAGGCAAAACAAAGTTTATGAGCGACCATTCTTGTTTGTCTCCATCAACTAAAACCCAAAACCTTATAGAAGAAAAACCGTAGCAAAACCATGCTAATTTTCCATGGTAGTTGAGCATAAGGATTCTTTCAAATTCAAAAGTATCATCTACTTTAAAACGTATCTCCGCTTCATAATACACGTGCCCGTTGATGCATATACCTACTCGTCCCATGGTTGGTAGAGGGATATGTAAAGGGCTATTTTGGACCACTCTCCATGATTCTTGAGGTCCCAATGTAAAAACGAGAGGATCGTGGTGGCCTTTGTGGTAGCCTGAGATGCTCAATACTTTATACTTATCCTCGACCGGATCGTGTCCTAAACAGCTACGTATAAAGTACATGACTCTAGGTTTGGGTTCGGGTAAGGTAACATGTTGTCTCATTGAAGGATTCCAAACTACGATCTTGTAAAAATCTCCGAAACATACCAAGCCGTGGCGCAGTGAGATAAATAAACGCTTGTCTCTTGCTTTGACGCATGCCATAAGACAAAGCCGAGTTGAAGAATGAAACGCGAACGACCTGATGAAATCTGGACGAGTGGTGATGGATGACCTTAGCTTCGAGGCGACGCGGAACCTCACAGCAGATTTAGCGGGCAGTCTCAAGAGTATATCAGGAGTCAGATCAAGAGGAATCAGCTCGAAAATCTTACCAATACGACTCTCGTCTTCCTCAGATTCCGTTTCTTCTTCTTCTCGTCTATCCATCGGCCGCGACCAACTCTTTTTAAATTTTTATAAAAAGCCTAAATGTGCAAACTAAGCGAAAATACGAACCTAAACGATGCCTTAACGTTAAAAAAAAAAGGAAACAATCGATGTATTCTTTTCTTCGTTAGAGAAAGTTTCCAAAAAAATAAGGATTACGTCATCCGACTTACTCGCAACCACTCTCTGATTTGACATCTGAATTTTTTTCCTTGAATAACAAAATTAGTCAAAGGTTTGGAGAATCGACGAGTAAAACGAGAATTTAAAAAACCCTGTCATTGTCAGATTCTTGATTTACTCTGTTTCTCATATTGATTTTCATTGTCTTTCATGGCTTCTACTTCAATAATGCTTTCTTCTCTTTTTTCCATCTTCTTCTTGACTTTTTTTGTCACTTATGCTCAGCAAAACGTCACCGTTCACACAATTTGCTACTACGATGGAGGCAACTTCACATCCAACTCTTCATATTCTCTTAATCTCAACCGTCTGATCTCTTCTCTACCTGATCTAACTCCAACAATCAACGGCTTCTACAACATCTCCACCAATGGAGAAGTCAACGCAATAGCTTTGTGCAGAGGAGATGTCAAACCAAATCAAGATTGCATCACTTGCATCACAACTGCCGCAAAACAGCTTGTAGAAAGCTGTCCTAACATCATCGAAGCTGATATTTGGCTCGAGAAATGCATGTTTCGCTACACAAGTCGAATCATTTTAGGTCAAATGGAGCCGGTTCCTTTTTCCTACACATCAAGCAATCTTAGCGTAACAGACAAGGAAGGTTTCAGCAAGGGTTTAGGTGAGCTATTGGATTCATTGGGAGAGAAAATCGACACTGCGAATGAGACTGAAGAGATTAAGTTTGCAGCAGGAGTGACAGGGTCTATCTACGCGTTGGCTCAGTGTACACCAGATTTGTCTGAATCAGATTGTAGAATCTGTCTTGCTCAGATCTTTGCTGGAGTTCCTACTTGTTGTGATGGAAAGACAGGTGGATGGTGGACGAATCCAAGTTGTTATTTCAGGTTTGAACAGTATCCGTTTTTCGATCTTTCGGTTATTTCAGAACAGATACAACCTCTTTCTCCTCATAACAATAACACCAGAAGAAGTGATCAAGGTATTTACAAGTTAAGCAAATGTCATAAAATGGATTAGGAATTTAGAATCACCCTTTTGATTCTCTGTTGATACTTGCAGGAAACAGTAAAGACCGGTCCAAAACACTCATCTTTGCGGTGGTTCCCATTGTGGCGATTGTATTAGTTTTTATCTTTCTCTTTATCTACTTAATGAGGAGGAAGAAGAAGAAGACTCTGAAGGATAATGCTGAAAGTGAGTTCGTGCAGCTGATTTTAGAGATAACTAATGATGCTAAAACCCTATTATTCGTCTCCTTCTTCCTTATTTCAGAAAATTTCCGCTTGCTAATTTCGATTTGCAGATGAATTTGAGAGTGCAGACTCATTGCATTTTGATTTTGAGACCGTAAGAGTAGCAACAGATGATTTTGCTTTAACGAATAAGATCGGTGAAGGTGGTTTTGGGGTTGTCTACAAGGTAAACTCATCCAATTATACTCTTCTTTGTCCTGATCTTAATCTACAGATAAACTTCACTTACTGTGATTAACTAAGCCTGCCATCAAATCCATCAGGGTCATCTTCCAGATGGGCAAGAGATAGCTGTGAAAAGGTTATCGATACACTCAGGACAAGGCAATGCAGAGTTTAAGACAGAAGTACTCTTAATGACTAAGCTGCAACACAACAATCTTGTTAAACTCTTTGGTTTCTCCATCAAAGAATCTGAAAGACTTCTTGTCTATGAGTTTATCCCAAATACAAGTCTTGATCGGTTCTTGTTCGGTATATATAATCTCTCATTCGATCTTTTCTCCTTAGGATGATTAGCTTTTCTCTGTTTTAATTAATTCCTCTGCTAATGAATGTAGATCCTATCAAGCAGAAGCAACTAGACTGGGAAAAACGGTACAATATCATCGTAGGAATTTCCCGGGGATTGCTTTACCTACACGAAGGCTCAGAGTTTCCGATAATCCACCGTGATCTCAAATCCTCCAATGTGCTTTTAGATGAACAAATGCTACCTAAGATCTCAGATTTTGGAATGGCAAGACAATTCGATTTCGATAGAACTCAAGCAATAACAAGAAGAGTTGTTGGAACTTAGTAAGTCCTAGCTACTCAAAACCAAAAACAACAAAACACAAGAATCAATCTCAATCTCTCATCTTTCTTGTTTCTGTAGTGGATACATGGCCCCAGAGTATGCAATGCACGGAAGATTCTCAGTGAAAACAGATGTTTATAGCTTTGGAGTTCTTGTTCTTGAGATCATTACAGGTAAAAGAAACAGTGGATTAGGGCTTGGTGAAGGCACAGATCTCCCAACTTTTGTAAGTAAACAACAAGAAACACACACAACAACAACAGGTTAACAAATTTCAAGGAGTGATGTTTTGCCTCTCTTTCATTTTGTTGCAGGCTTGGCAAAATTGGATTGAAGGAACATCAATGGAACTAATAGATCCTGTTCTTCTGGAATCTTACAACAAGAAACAATCAATGCAATGCTTAGAAATTGCTCTGTCTTGTGTTCAAGAGAATCCTTCAAAAAGACCAACAATGGATTCAGTTGTTTCAATGCTTAGCTCTGAGCCTGAGTCTCTCCAGCTTCCAAAACCATCGCAGCCTGGCTTCTTCAGAAGATCAGCGTCGTTTTCGATTTCTTTAAACGATGTTTCTCTCACAGATTTGTCTGCGCGTTAAGTGTTGCAGTCACACAAAGTTTCAATTTTTAAACCCTAAAATTTAGTTTTATAGGAATGTTTTATTCTGCGAAAGTTTAATGCTTTTTTGTTGGGAGAAAATAAAGTTTCGAGCTTTAGATACGAACCCAGTTCCATAACTTCTTCTTCTCCATTACTGTGACTATGGCGGCTACTCTTGGGAGATTTGCCTCCAATTCTATACGTAATTCTGTTCAGGGAATCACCTTGAACAAACCCTTTATCCGGAAACAGCTTCTTCTTCCTTGGAGTTCTCGAAGTTTATCTTTTTGCTTAGATTATCAGTTTGGCTCTGCGACTGCTGAGGTTTACTCAAATGCAGGTGAGTCTAGTTGCGGATTTCTAGCTTATTTCGACTTCAGTTTGAATTTAGTTCGATGAATTTATTATTGGGAACACCAAGTGTTTGTAGAAATGCCTCTGACAAAATGCTTAGTAGCTGTATATTACACTAGATTCAGATCAGTTGGTGTATGAGACATAGTTCTGCTTCATATATTAAAGGTTTAGACTTAACAGCCTGATGAGGAGACAAAGCTAGCTAACACTTAATAGCATAAAAATAATGAAGTAAGACCTTTCCATTATTTTGTTGAAGTTGTAGCTTTTTACTTTTTAACAAGGCTAAATATGTATAGACTGAGGCATATCTGCATCTTATTCTTTATGCTGCTACTATGTTAAGGATCCTAATATTAAGATGTTGAAACTTACTGTAAGTCCTGCGATTGATTGTTGTCAAGGGTCTGATACCGGTGGTGGTATTGTCAGTGAAGGGTTTCTAAGATGGAGAAATGGAGGAGGGACATGTCATAGCTCGGCTCTAATTGATTCTTCAGCTTTGGTTGAGTTTGGTGCGGTAGTTCATGAAAAAGCTGTCTTAGGTGCGGAGGTTCATGTAGGATCCGGGACTGTAATTGGACCATCAGTTCAAATCAGTCCTTCCACAAGAATCGGGTAACATTTCTTGTACATGTTTCGAATAGACCATTGTTGTGTTCAGCATCTTTATAAGATTCTATTTGCTGAGTTTATTTTCTTCTATACAGATATAACGTTTCACTCAGCAACTGTAGTATTGGTGATTCTTGTGTTATCCACAATGGAGTCTGCATAGGTCAAGATGGTATGAACCAAACTCACGTAGACTAGCCAAGATCATAGGCTGGGGGAGGTTTTGATTTGAGATTTGGTCTTTTGATTGTTTGTTTATTTTTCTTTCAGGCTTCGGTTTTTACGTTGATGAACATGGAAACATGGTGAAGAAGCCTCAAGTAATAAATCTCTTTTGCATTTTTTGAATCTGATTCAACAATTTGCGGTTCCAAAGTAATTTCTCTTTATGAATCCCTTAGAAATTAAACGTAAAGATAGGGAATCGTGTTGAAATTGGAGCAAATACTTGCATTGATCGAGGCAGGTAACAGATCTGCATCTATTGACTAACTTCCATCAGTGCGCACTATTTTTGGTTTCATTAGCTGTGTATGACAAATTATGCAGCTGGAGAGATACCGTAATCGAAGATGATACTAAGATAGACAACTTAGTGCAGGTTTGGTCTCTTTTTGTTTTTGGCCTTTTTAAATTGAGAAAACAGTATCATACTTGTTTTCTTTCTTGTTTTTTTGCAGATAGGTCACAATGTGATCATAGGAAAGTGTTGCTTGCTTTGTGGTCAAGTAGGCATCGCTGGTTCAGTAACGTACAAATCTGAACTCTTTTTGGTTCCATTGAAAGAAACAATTTTTTGAAGTTTCTCAAGGACTCAAAAAGTCAAAAAACAATCTGCAGAATTGGTGACTATGTGGCTTTAGGAGGACGAGCTGCTGTTCGAGACCATGTCTCCATTGTATCCAAGGTATAATAGGTGTCACCGGTTTCAAAAATGTGGTTCTTGATGTGGTTCGGTTCACAAAAACTTCCTTTTGTGTTTAGGTTCGACTTGCGGCTAATAGTTGTGTTACTAAAAACATCACTGAGCCAGGAGATTTTGGAGGCTTTCCTGCTGTAAGCAATCTCTTAAGCTATATCATTTTATTGTTTCCCAAGTTTCATCAAGATCTTAAACGTTGCTTCGACATTTCATCAAGAATTAGTAAAAACATTTACTCGAATTGATCGATATATATCCAACTGAAACAGTGCTGAAAAATGGCTTCCTAGTAATTGATATGAAATTTTGTTCTGACTTCAGGTCCCAATTCACGAATGGAGAAAGCAGATTGTTCGAGCTCAGATTGTGAACAAGAGAAAAACTTGATTCGATGTCATTTGATTTGAGATTTTACTAATTTTGCTTCATTTTTTTACGTATATCAATGTAGCAAGACAAAGCTTTAAAAACAATTTAAACAACAATCAAAGTCAAGATTCGTGTACAAGTGAAGATTGTAACTTAACAGTGATTTAGACTTACAAAGTAAAACACCAATAATATCTATTAAAAATGTATCATGTACTTTAATTTCCTTTCTCGTGCTAATTTTAGAAAACTTTGTGACAAAATTCCAAAAAAAAATACCCGAGATTTGTGGGTATCATCCAACGGTCTCTATACTGTCTGAATTGCTTTTGCCATACTAACATTTTATAAAAAGAAAAGAAAAAGGACAGTGAAAAGAGAAGACAGAAATTAGTTTTGTTTAATATGTCTTCGATGATGGACTTGTTTTGTTTTTTACGTCGAGACCAAGTAACTGGTTTAAAACTTCAAAGTTAATAGTACAACAAAGTGTGAATTATTAAGACTATACAATATAATTGTCTCTATCTATATATATATATAGAAAGTTGGATATTTATTTTTATTTTGGTAGTATTATTAGTATGGGACTATGCGTGGGTTGCATTATTCGAAATTTTCAAATGTATTTTTGTGAGACAGCTTCTCTGGCTACAATTCATTAGTATGAGTCACTCCCTTAATCAATTAATCAAATGTTTTTTTCTTATATATTCTGTAATCTCTTTCATATGTTACGGTCCACCATGTTTCTTTTTTCCTTTTATTGCATGGTTTTATAATGGCCACTAATATTGTGTTTTTCTGATATATAAGAATTAGTTACGCCTGTACCAAGTATAAGAATTAGACAAATACGATATAATTAGTGATTGATTAATCTTACTGAAAGTGATTAAACCAACTATTCGATATATATCACATGTTATTTAATTTTCTTATTTTTAAGTAATAAGTATATCGAGACCTACGTATATCTTTTTGTATTCTCTGTAAAATTTTGATTTAACGGTTTAGGGTTACTGTCAGGCTATCGTAACTTTGATTAAAGCTTGGAACGTACAAGCTTGACTAGATGCATCCTAGCTAGTTTTTCTACTGACATAATAAGACAAAATCATAACAATCAATTTATTTTTTATCATAGTCTATGAAAACGCAAAATAAACAAAACAAACGAGACTCTTTGCAAGTAAAGTATCAATATCACGAACTAAATAATCAACTTAATTAGTTGGTAGTGAAATTTATCACAAACCTCTTATTAGATTGATGGTTTTAGATGTTTTTTTCAGTCTTTCAACATTTTAGATTCATTAAGCTGGTAGTGAAATTTATATTTAAACTTAATTGGACTCAAACTACTCACTAAGAGTTAAATATTGCTTGACCAAAAAAAAAAAATATTGCCACCAATGAATCTGATCGAAATACCAAATCTCAAGCCTCAAAGACTCTGTTGTACATTCCTTGACAACCTTGCACAAACTTAAACTTTCGTACATTCGTATACGCTTAAATTTATACAAATTGCAGTATAAACAAATAGTAATCAAAAAGAAAACAAATAGTGTACACATCGACTAAAACACTAATCAGCCGTCAAATTTACCCCTAAAGACTAAAGTTATTCCAAATGACCCTTTGTATTTCAAATTAGGAGATAGAATTATACGAGGAGATAATGTCTGGCAGCACAATTTTTTATTTTATTTTTCACAATTCCTTTTGAAAATATCTAACGTCCAAAGATCCTCTAGATAATAGATAGTATTAATTATTTTAATTTTTTTCTTCTCAATTCTCATCAACACTCGATAACATATTTCATTATTTGTGATTTATTTTAAAATTTGTCATATAGCTCGAGTCCTCTCTCTGTCGCATATGTGTCTCATTTTTGTTTTTCGGTTTGCTTTGTTTTTCGCCCATTAGACTCCAAAATTAACGAAAAAATATCTTGGAAAGTGGTAAATTCTTTATACATGCAAAGATAACTTTTTACAGACTTCGGTAATTCTTTTTCTCAGTTGCTTTTTGTAAATGTGATCGTATTTCTTAGGCGAGGTGGAAAACTAAGAAAATCATATTGAAACAAAAAAAATTGCTTATATTTTAGAGGCTATCGTTTTTGTTTTTGGAACAAACTAATTTTCTTTTCTGGAAAAAACGAACTTATTAGGCTGCAAACAGATAAAATATGATATTTGACAACATCTTAAAATGAAAGTTTTGCAATTATTGTTGATGTGCTTGTTGCTATAGTTTTGAGGGTGATTAGGTATATAGTCTATTTTGATAATTTAATCTTTTCAAGTAACTAGCACTTTAATTCAATATTGTAGATACTATCCTTAAATTAATGGAAACTTAAGAGGGTTTCTCTTACATAAATTTATATGTGTTATACAATCGCGATGAAAAAGAATTAGTTGTTTAAGAACAAAATGCAAAGATATGTTATCTCCAACTTTCTCTATTTTCTACATGTTTTATGCAAGCAGATCATAAAATAGGGAAGTTAGTTGCTCACCTTAATGATTCTTCATCGCATATTCCTCAAATGATCACCAAGCTTCTTCTTTTTTATATTATAACCAAAAATTCTTATTCTTATTCTTAATCACGTTCATTTATAAATCCTAACACTGATTAGATTCTAAATAATAATATTGTTCGTAACAAACAAACAAAATACTATCTATACGTGGACAATTCAATCCACAGCATATGAGAACTATCATGGAACTTGTTACCAAAAAAAAAAAAAGAAATTGTGATATTTAAAATCTCCAAAAAAAAATAGCATACCTAACTTAAACCAATATTAGAATTTTCTGATGAATGGTACGCAACAATTTTTCTTACACAAATAATAGTTAATGTTCATTTGATTAAAATCTATGAATCTTGTAACTATACTCTTCTTTCATATTTTTGTTTATTCAGATTTACATTTCGAGAACAAGCCACAATTCTAATTTTTATTCTTTTTAACATTATTCTGAAACAATATTTTGAATTATCGTAGAGAGCAAGACAACACCAAATCAAACACATACACAAATAACACAACTTTAGATCAAAGGGTTTTAATGATAACATATTCATCCATCTGCCATTCCACTAAGTAAGATCAACTAATCATAAATTAAACATCTCAGAATCATGATAATGATTATGAATAAGTAATCACTCATTAGTCTATCTCTTCTCTCTCTCTCGTGCGTGTGAGTTGTGACTTATCTTTGAGAAATAAAATAAAATAAAAACAGACACCAACCCATTTAGAAAAAATGGGCAACATAAATAAAAAGTAAAAGGCTCTCTCTCCTTTCTTTCAGTTTCGACATTCCCCAGAATCTCTCTCTTCCCTTTTTGTCTCCAACCAAAACAAAACCTTAATCACCTTTCTTCTTCTTTAAACAGAGAGCATAACAGAGACGTTCGTTCCCACTCTGTCTTAATCTCCTCTGTCTCAATTCTAAAGTAAGTTTATTTCATCTTTCTTTATATTTCCTCTCTAGTTTCTTCATGAACATGTTTGATGATCATGTCTCTGTTTTTGTACCAGTTGAAGATCGATGGAAACCGGTGGAACAATTCCGGGTCAAGAAATCGGATCCGGGTTTCAAAAACCAGTTAACCCAGATGGGTTTGTGACGATCGATGTCGAAAGTTTCTCTAATGTCATCCACAAAGACTTCTCTTCTTCTAGTCCCAGAATTACTGTAAGTTTTTTAAAATCCAAACTTTGCTTAATCATCAAGAACACCACAATTTCTATTTTTATCAATTATTTGTTTCTATTTTCTTCTCTGTTTTTTTTTTTTTTTTTGTCTTTTGAGTATTTAATTTTGGTGAGAATCATGGAAGAAACGCCCATATCCTTTATAACTACTCTTAAGTCGTCGATTCAATTTTTCTGCCCATTTTTTCGTCTCATTTAATATTTTCAAGTAAAGAAATAAAGTAAAAAACCCTAATTAAAAGTTGACTTTTAATGTGTCAGTTTTTTGAAAAATATATTTTTCGTGTTATAAAACTATTTATCATCTCACGGATTTCTCTGTTTTCCTTTCTGATATTTGGCATTTGGCATGAAGCTTCTTCTAGATATTTTAATTTCTCTTTTGGAGTGTTTCTAGTGAAACTCAATTATTGAGATATTTATTGTATTATGATATGAACTTAGAAACTGAAATAAATAATGAAAATAAAAGTTGCAGAGAAATGTATCGAGGAAAGGGTCTCCAAGAAGCAACAACGAGAGAAAACTCCAATTTGACGCAAATGGTAATGACAAGGAGACCTCATTTCCTCAGTCCCCACTTAGAGGTAAAAATGATTCTTCAATATCATCAATTCATAATTTAATATATACGTCATATTCTTGATTTATTATTGTCTTAAATACAGTCTATTAAATTACTATATATTAAACATTAAATTAACGTTTTAATTTCACGTAGATAGACAGATGCCATTTTTTTCTACTGCCCATGAGTGTACATTTGTTTCTTTGCTTATTTTTTGGTACCATATAATTGTAATAGTATCTAAAATGGCCCTAGCAGATTCTTGAAATAAATTCGGTTTGGGCTTATCTGCGACTGTGAGTTATAATTAAATCTTAAACTTAACAAAAATAAGGTGGGTGTTTACGATGAAAACAAATACTATATTTCAGATTTTTGATAATGCAATTCGAATTTCTTGAGGTTAGATATTTTTTCTCTCCGTGAATTGTTATTGGATATATTATCTCTAATGCAAGAAGGTTTGGTTTGCCTAATCTAAGTAAATTGTTGAATATTATAATTAACCCTTATTATATAAATTCCATTGATCTTTTCGTCGTCTTTGAAAGGTAGACATTAGAAGTGTTAGGTAGGTTTTAGTTTATGTGACCAACCCATGCGTTTTTAGCTGCAAACCTTAACTTTAGGTTGATACATTATATATTTTGAAAACTTCACCAATTCTCCTTTTTAAAATAAAAATTTCATTCACCTTACTAACTAACTTTTCACGTCATGCTTGCAATCTATCTACGACACATTGTGTGTAGAATATCTACAAGTCAACTAATAGGAAAAACTCTAATGTTTATCTCTTTCTTGTCTTTATTTTGAATTATATAATTTATATTAGAAGTTATTTGTGTTAGCTACATTAGCTTTATGCATACCACAAACAAACCAATATTCCAACTTTTTAATTCTCCTGCACCAGTGCAGCGCATGCACTCATACTGTTATTAAATTTGGCATACAATAACTAATGACTACGTTATGATTCAATTTATTTTGTCCTGTCAAATAAAGAAAAAGAATCATTATTCTTTGTTATTCATTAAAGCTTGTGGTATGGCAATTGATGTGTTGCAGGATCAAGCACGCCGGAAAAGCCTAGCATCGTTGGGCCCACAGAACATGCAGGCACGGCCACATCCGCTGCCACAGCTGTTTCAGCCTCGCCGCTTCATCAGATCACCATTACTACGGCTGCCACGGCCGCCGGAAATATGATCACCGACCAAAATAGAGAAAGAAGATTCGGCTTTTCGAGGAAATCGAGTTTTAAACGCTCTCATACTTCTTGGATGCTTGATCCGAAGAAAATCGTCCTCTTCTTTGCAACTTTGTAAGTAATTATTACACTTCCTTTAATCTCATCATCATAGTATATCTATTTACTTAACCCCAAAAGATATGTTAACTTGAGGAAAACAAAAGGATTTACAAATATAGAACTCAAAATGCATAGATAGATCTATAAATAATTACTTGATAATACATCTTTTATATATAGTACTCCCTCTGTTTTTTAAAAGTTGTCGTTTTAACTATATTTGGACAAATTAAGAAAAGGTATACAATGACTATATTAACCTCATAAAAATGACATGTAATTATTTATAAATAATTTGTGTTCAATAAAATGAGGATAATTTGAGTAGTTATTAGCATAAATTACATTATTACCTTAAAACGACAACTAATTTAAAACAAAAAAAAAGTTCTAAAACGACAACTATTCGAAAACGGAGGGAGTAGTAATTATATATCTTGTTAGTTTCAATTTTTGGATTGCATATAGATCAATTTATTTATTTATTTGCATCATTATATTAGCTATTAAAAGTCTGAATTAGTCAATGTATTGAATTTTATTATAAGTCGTGTACGACATGCTACTGAAAATCAGAATTATCTATCACAATTTAATACGTAAAGTTGTTTTTGACGAATATATTGATGTAGGGTTAAATTTTTCTATGACAGGTCAAGCATGGGATCAATCTTGTTAATCATATTCACACTCTCGATCAGCAAGTCCAATCCCGGAGATATGCCTCTAGACTAATAGTAAACACAAGAAGAGCATTATATATAACGCATATATATATCATCGACCGACCTAAGTTTGTGGCCATAGAACATGCCACAGTCTCACCGACCTACATTTGAGGAGATGTATCAGACAGAAGAACATTACAAAAAATGAAGAGGGTAAGGTTGTGATAATAGTTTTATTTCGTATGATTTTTTTTAAAAAAATGGAAAACAAAAAAAAGAAAACAGTAAGAGAGAGAAAGTGGGAAGTGGGCACGCACGAGATCATATGGGAGATTGGAAAAGAAAAGCTTAAGACAAGAGTTTATGACTATTGTGACAAAGACAGAGAATCTTCTCTTCTGTTCTTTTAAATTCTTCTTTTCCTCTGTTTTTTTAAAAACATTTATTTATCGAGTAATGTGTTCTGATTTCCTTGTATGTCTTCTTTATGTGTGTACATATCAATTGTGGTGACTGGTGAGCAATTTTTAGCTTTCGTTTGGTTTATCTTTTCCAAATATATAGAGAAAGTCTGAGTCGTGTTACAGACTTACAGTATGTTCAGTTTACACTGTTCGTGTTATATATGTTCTAATAAATCTCATTTTTCCGATATTCATAATGTGATATTTATTTGACTAGCAAACAAAAAAAGTTTGTTTTACAAATGCAGAAAAAAAAAGAACAAATGAAATTGAACTTTCAGTAAAACAGAGCAAAATGAAAGTTTATGGTTCCTAATCACCTTGTCGATGGAGTGGGCAAGGTGAAGAGGAGAATGAACTCGGTGGTGGTGCCTCCTCCCATTTATCTCCCTCCACAAATGATAAATGAATGCTTGAAAGGGTAGATGGAGTAGAACAATCATGTTGAAACTTGTGATTCTATTCTATATCAATGATTGGAGCGTATAGGATTAGTTGGGTGTCTACTCCCATTCCTTCCACAAGTGATAAGTGAAGGCTTTTGGAGACTAGACGGAGTAGAATATAATCATGTTGAAGCTTGTGTTCTAAAAAGTATTGGACTTGCTGATCATATAAAAAGACGGGTGTGATTGTGCATACCAAAGTCTAAACTGCAAAAGTGTAAGGACATGCATAAAACAAGTGATGTCTATTTTAATCATTTTGATATAAGTCAAATAGAACAATATTTTTTGTTTGAATTTCTTGAAAATATTCCTTGCCCTATCTAATCAGTTTTCTGTTACGAGAGCTAATAGTTTCTAAATCATTTCCTTTAAGAAAAGCTTCCCCCATTCAGTGCCGGTCCGAGCATCTGTGAGGTCCTACACGAAAAATAAAATGAGGCCCAATATATTTATAAGTTTTAGGGCTAAAATTTTTTTTTTACCTATTTTTAGTAAATTATACAAAAATAATGATATTTTGAATATTATTACATTCAAATTTAATTGTTTGGACCCTATTTTATTTATTTTTTTCGAAAAAGACTTTAGTTTCTACCAAATATTTTTATTTTATAGACCTTTTTACCAAAAAAAAAAAAAAACCTTTAAAAAAAAAAAATTGTGGTACCCCAAGCTACCGCTTGGGTGGCCTGTCCTGCGGGCCGGCCCTGCCCCCATTTTAAGACTCATCATTCATGGAGTTATATTACTATCACATTTTCCCATATACAGGTACTTAAGATTTGATGTTTTTTTTTTTTGAAAAACTAAAAATTCAAACTTGGGTAATATATGGACCATCTTAACAAATAGAACCTACACAAGCGTGGAAGAATAAATGTCACCACATGCTATTCACCTAAGCTATTACCATATTTAGGTTTCTTCAAGTGTTTTGATCATAAAGTACATCACCCCACTATCATAGGTTAAATTTTAGAACGTATTACGTGCCAATATACATTATGTAATTCATTTTGAATTTTGCTGCTATCAAGCAAAGCTGACACATGGTTTTAAAAGTTTGATGTTGAAATTTTGCCAAACAAGTCCACAACTCCCATAAAAGTTGTGGTGTAGGTTTTAAACTCTGAAATGGGGTATGCAATCGGAGTTTTAGAAGAAAAATTATTTATATAGTACATTTTAGTCGCTTTGTTATTTTCTCTTGGATTTTTGTTTCAGTTGTTTTTGAATACTCTTGAATTTTTGTTTCAATTGTTATAACTAAAGACGGAATAGAAAAGTTTTTAACTGCCAAACAATAATAAAGATATATGGTCTAAGTCTTTACTTATGTTAAAGACTGTCTCCAACAACAAAATAATGGTTGGTGAAGCAAAAAAATATTTCCAAGGAGAAACGAGGCCATGATCAAATAAGTTGTTTTGCCCATCGTCTTGACGTGTATCATGTCATTTTCTTCTTCCCAAAAGAGTTGTGCAAAAAGTTAGCTAGTGCAGTCTTTAATTTTTGGTGGAGCTCTAACTCAAACTCCAAAAATATGCTCGTTCCAAATAATATGCCAAAAAGTAGGCAAAAGATATGATACATAATGAGCTAAAATCCATAAAAAATTATTGCATATGATTGTTAATACTTGATAGTTTTGTGGGGGTAAAAAGAAAACTCTTTCAATTCTCTCCAACTTGGGCTACCATATAAATAATGAAATATTTGTATGGATTTTAGCTTTGACCCAATAATAAGGTCATGTAAAAATGTGCCAATGGGCTTTTACAAAAGAGTTTTATCAATTTATATTTTCTCTATATATTCTTCCACCTTAATTTAAATCATCTTTGAATAATAATCATTTAGTAGCTTTTAGAGATGCGAGGCATTGCTCGATTGCTTTGTCTCTCATCGTAAAGCCTCAAAACCACTGCCGCAGTTTCCTCAATTGCTCTCTCTGTCACTTCTGCAAAACAAAACAAATCATATAAAATTAAAACTTTGACAAATTCTCTTAAATTCTTGATCTCATTCTCATATATATAGTCTTACCAATCACTGGCCAAGTCGGATTCTCTGCAAAGATTCTCTTGGCAAGCTCAAGCTCTTCTTTAACAGAACCCAACTCAGAGTACTTAGTCTTAAAACTCGAACCAAGTCCAAGACTCTTGGCTCTTGCCTCTCTTATTCCTTGCAACACGACCGGATTAATCATCAGACCAAAAACCTTTCTCGGGTCGATCTCAAACAGAGTCTTGGGAAGATCAACACCGTTCACGATCGGTACGTTAGAGACTTTGTAACCCTTTTGAGCTAAGTAAGTCGAGAGTGGTGTCTTCCCTGTCCTAGAAACACCTACAAGAACAATGTCAGCTTTTTCAAGATTCTCAGGCAAGGCACCGTCGTCGTGTTTGATAGTGAATTCGATAGCTTCGATTCTTTTGAAGTAGTCTTCGTTAAGGGATGAGTTTGTTACGCCACGTGAAAGACCGGAAGGATTAGTGCCTAAGTGAGAAGAGATTGAGTCAGTGATTGGTCCAAGAATGTCTAGTGATGGGATTTTCCATAGCTTGCAAGCTCTCATGGTTGCTTCTGCCATTGATGGATCAGCTAAAGTGTAGATTACCATTGCTCCTTCTCTTGCTGCTTGCTTTATGATCTCCATTAACTTCTCTCCATCTTCTATCTTCAAAAATATCAAAAATATTCATCAACCAAATTGATTCAATTCCGGTTTTCTATAAACCGGAATCAATTAATCCCGGTTGAAAGAAAACAGAAATAACTTTCGGTCCGTTTAACAATTGAGGGAATCTAAAATAGTAAACCGGATTTATTTCGGTTTAGCTAAAATTGAAGCATTGAAATGAGAGAGGGGAAAGACGAGAATACCCCTGAGAAGAGATGTGTATTAACGGGACAGCCACGGTCGACCAAGCAATAATCGAATTGGCCCAAGGCAGCGTTAACGGCGTGTTCCGCCGTCCAACCAGTTCCGTCAGATACTATGTAAATCGACTTCGCCGCCGTCATATCCGTCTCGTTATCTCCGTTACTTGATGATGACAAGTCACTGTCAAGTGTCGAAACATCAGAGCGATTCGAACTTTCGATTGGACGCATCGGACCGTTCGTACTGTTTGATCCATTAGCAATCGTACGGTCTAGCTTCGCGCCGGATTTTAAGGTTCTTGCTCTGTTCCAGCGGTTTAGCTGTGAGCTGAATTTCCGAGGCTTCCGTTCGGAGCCAGGTTCAGAGGTGTTTAAGGAAACGGAATCCGAACCTGCAGGTTTGGAATTGGGGTTGAGATTGGATGAGATCGATGGTGGACGTCCCTGCAACTTCATCGCCGAAAGAAAAGCCATTTCTTTTTCTTTCTTTTTGTTTTTTTGAAGTAAATTATTTATTGACCCTTCGTCTAATATCTTCTAAAAATCTATTGGATATTTATAACATAAAAATGATTTTTTTTTTTTTTAATTTCCCTGCGGGACTCATAGAGGTTCAACCAACCACTTTAATCAGAATAATCGGTTTAATTTCAAAGTATATATCTATTTTTAATTTATCGGATTGAGTTTTTTTTTTAGTATTGCAATGTACAAAACAAAATTAAATTTGACTTTCGAATGATACAAAAATAAATTTCAGTTTTTTTTTTCTCGTATAACTTAAAATTGGTTTTCTAATCGATTTTGATAATGAAGAAGAAAATACTTATTAAAAAAATGAACAATAAATTATATGAAAAAAAATCAAACCAAAAACAATTCCAATAAATCATAAAAAATCTAAAATAAATAAAAATTTGGGTGTAATGAATTAGTAGAGATGATTAAGGAACCTAGGAAGACCAACTTTAAAACCAAGCTTCTTAACATCTTCTTGAACTTGTTGTCTGAATTCTCTGAAGCTAAAATTTCTATAAGCAGGACAATCACTTGAACACTCTATAACGGCGTCGTATGATGGACACATAAAATACGCAGTTGAGAATCTCTCCACCGTTGGATTCGTCATCACACGGTGTTCCACACTTTTGTACATGTCATTACTCCATGCCTAACAAAACATACATAAAACTCAAAATTTAATAATCTAAAGACATTGTTAATACATTGCCTTAATGTTTTTCTAGAAATCAAAATATCGAACCCTAAACTAATTTGTAAGCTCCAGATAATGATAATAGTAATGGTAGAATGTTATAACAAAAAAGCTAAATTACCTGAAATAAGTCACCAATATTGATAATGAGAGCTCTTGAATTAGGTTTAACGGCGATCCATCTATCGTCTTTGATGAGTTGGAGTCCTCCGACTTGATCTTGATACAAGATTGTGAGGAAATCACTATCTGTGTGTGGCATTAATCCGTACACCTCTGATGGTTTCGGACAAGGCGGATAACGGTTCATCCTTAGATAACATGTATTCCTCACACAGTTTTCTTTGAAGAAACTTGATTTTTGTCCAGATTTTTCTGCAAGAACCTCTGCCAACATATATGCTAGAGCCTCCGCTTCCGAGGCAAATTTCTCCATTGTTGAGCTGTGGGATACAAAAGGTAAAAATTATGACATGATCCATATTATAATTAAGGTGAAAAAATATATAAAATTTCTGTTGTTGTTTCAAAATATGGCAGAATGGCATATTTACATGATTATTTGATTTGATAGAAAACTGTGAAGTCCACAGCTGATGATTGTTAGCTATTGGGTCAAACCTTGGCCTAAAGGATTTTTTTTTTTTCTGGTGCATGTTACATGACACAAATGGTGAACATGCATAAAATCGTCAACACATATAGAACAAATAATTCATCAGATGAAAGAGAAAAAACGGGGCGCAGTCCACATGCAAGGAGGTGAAATGGCAAGAAGTTTGAGTTACATGTGAGGTCTAATGGAGAAGGGTCCCAAGAGACTAAAACAAGGGCGAGAAGAAAAGGAAATTAAAATGGGTATGAATCAGGTTGGGAGGAGATGTACGTGTACGTGTCCGATCCATTGTTTCTCTATGATAGAGATATCTCCTACCTGTTAGGAACATGGGACCCTTTTCCAATTTTAAGTCTTCTATATCATTTCTCTTTTTGGATACTCTGTATATGCATCTATGTATACATAGTTCATTTGGCACTTGAATGATGAACTCTATTCACTTTGTTATCCGGTGGATTAGCTTGGTCTTCAAAGTATATGCACATTCATTTTCTTATATAATATATAATTATATATATATATGTTGAATTGGAGTGTTATAATTAATAATATTTTAGATTTATTGTCAAATTGCCATTAATAGTGACTTATCAAGAGAACGCCAACTACGAAAAGTAGCAACGGTATGTGGTCACACATACACAAACACACACACACAAGCTGAAACAATGCATAAGATGTGTAAGACGACCACATGCATGCAAATATATGTACATGTAAGAATGTGTACAGATTCCAGCACACGTTAGTACTTAGTACACACTGATCACAAGATAATATATATACGTATATATGTATATATAGCTAGCCTGGCATGTTCGAGTACTTCTTCTTCCATTACATTATCTCTCTTTGCTATAAACAGATAGTTTTCTCGTGACTCTTCCTTTCTTTTATCATCACCATCTATAATACTGTAATCTATATTATACACAAGTTTATGTGTACTATGTGTTTCTAGATTGTGCCTAAGTTTTGGAGAGTAAATTTACATTCTTAAGATAGAATTGTTATTTGAATACATAAGAATTGAGAAACATAATTTCCCATGGACAAACAAAAACGTTATAACTAAGATATTGTATATTTAAAATGTGTAGTTGGTTTCAGTTATGTAGGCGTGTTAACAGCTTAAAAAATTTCAGATGTAAACGTTTAATTCGTATAATATTGCAATGTTTGTATATTATTTCAAAACAACTTATGTCTTCGGAAAAAAAAAAAAAAAAACCTTGAGTTGGTTAATGGTTTTAGATTATTTCTGCTGACAAAAACCGACCAAATCAGTTGGTCTGGATGCCATTTTTTTATTGTGAAAATCTGAGAACTATTTGTAGATAAAAATAATGATTTTGGATATATAAAATATTAAAGGTTTAATTTCATTAAAAAAATCATTATGCGCCGCAGCTAATGCAAACTAATCTAAGAAGTCCATTTTCTAACATGTAACAGAATTTGAAGTTGACGAAGTGCCTAAGAGTACGATGAACCAAAAAATAAATACCAACATTAGATGTAACTATCTTAAGATTATTCTTTACCAAAAATAAATACGTCTATACCCTTTAACCAAAAAAAGGAAAAAAAAACATTAAAGCTAGCTAGAGTTTAAGTAACTATCTTAAGATTATTCTTTACCAAAAATTTTTTTTACGTTAGATTATTTATTTCTTATATATTTTCCAAGTACACATGATATACTACTTTATTATTTAATTATTTGTATTTCACATGCCAACTTGCTATCTCGAAATTAGACGCATTCCAAAATAGTATTAAAAATGGAAAACATAGAAACGCATGAGAGATGGAGAATAAATCTTTGACCCAATGCCCAACAACTTTATTTTCTAGGATTAAACTTTTAAAAGTATCCAAAGTATTAATTAAATATAAATGACAACACTCTATTATATATATGCTTCAAAACCACCATATACTGAATTAAAAACTCTGTTTGTCTACCATGTCTAATCGTTGAATAATTAATGAATTTTGTCTGCAAATTGTGTAACTTATAGTCAATCACTGGACAATAATTAAGATTAGAATTATATCATTATAATTAAACTTTTAATCTGCAAAACACTAGTGTTTATAAGGTAACTGAAAGAGAAAAAGGTGTAAGTATATAATTAATTTCCATCTTGTTATTGGGATTATTCTCCACATTTTTTCCAAAGAATTAACATATTAAATCATAATTAATAAGTAAATTAATTCCAAGAAAAACTAATAATTGATATATTTGTGTACCTGAGAGTAGTAAAGTCCTTGTTGTTAGAAATATCTGTCATGGGAACATGAAAAGCTTCTGACCAAGAAAGCTGCCGGAGACAAGTGGCTGACGGCGTTCCCCACCGGTAACTCCCAGCGGAGAATTTCTCCGACTTACTTTTCTTGTCAAAAGGCTCTCTAAAGACCCTAATTTGTTCTTGTCTCATCTTCTCCAACACATCCATTGATATTCCATGGTTTATTACTTGAAAAAATCCCCACTCCCTCGAAGCTCTCGCAATCTCTTCCTTACAGTTCTCTCTCTCCTTCTCGGCTCCATGGATGAGACGGCTGACGTCAATCACAGGAAGCTCCACCTCCTCGAAGACGGCCGTGACGGAGAAGCTAAAGGGTATTTCAGGAACATCTCTTTCTGTGTTTGTGATCTGATTGTACAAAAGGGTTTTGTATATTTCGTTGAATGGTGGATCCATGAGAATCACTAAGAGAGATATACGAAGAAGAAGAAAAAGAGTGAGAGTTAGAGAGAATTATGGGAAGTGAAGGTTATCAAAATACGTGTTGTGAGGAGAGACACAATTCTAACATTTATATACACGTCCACCTATATGCATATGCATATGTACATACGAGTGCAATTTTTTTACATTTTGATTTTTAGTATTACCATGTCGACAATAAAAAAAAAACAGATATTTGAAAGAAAAATATATTGTTTGCCGCCCATCGACATTGTTAATTACTCACCATTAATTGGGAGTATTTATTAATGAGTAGTCATCATTTTTTCTATTCATCACATTCTTTTGCAACGTCTATATATGTATATGGGGTTTAAAAAAAACTAGCAACTAATTTTTTGTTGGAAATTGGATAGTTTACTAATCAAAGTAAAGTTTTACTCTAAAGATCGTAATGTTATTTTGTTTTTGATTTTCTAAGATCAAAATTCACCTGTAAAGTAGTTCTAACAGATGTAGAATTTGAATACAAAAATCTTAGAAAAATGCGATATGGGTAATGTGTATATTTATTGTATATCTGTGGTGGACAAGATACGATAATGGGGATTAATGAATTTGGTATTATTAGAATAAATTAAGTTGAGGCTGTCTTGGAGAACATGATGTTGTTTCATTTTCAAAGGTTTGAATATTTGCTTGTCTGGACACCGTCCTTCGTTTCTATGTTTTTCACTTCCTTCTATGTTGTACTGTTTTTACTAGTACTATTATTTTTTGTTTGTTTATTTCTTAATTATTGTGATCAATTATTAATCAGAAAACTAATCAGTAGTTTTTCCTTGGCTGGATAAGACCCAATAATATAAAAACATTATGTTTCATTAATTAGTACGTATTCGTTAAAAAGCGGTAGTAAAATAAGAGAACTTATGGAAGCAAGAGAAGCTTGGGGTCCAAGAAAAAGAAACATGAGGACTTTTACTTTCTCTCTCATTATATGCACTGTCAATGTTTATATGTTACATAACTATTTGTTTATATGTTTATTGTTTCATTGACGTAATAGTTATTTCCCCAACGAAAGCATGAGATTTTTACCATATATGACGCTATACAAACCCAAAAACAAACAACATACAAAAGTTGAAACAGTTTACTTTTTTTTTTTTTTTTTTTTGCGTCTGTCTTTGACTAACGCATGCATGTGTAATACTTAGATTTATTTATACAAATATGATGGTATTATTACAAAAATCAAATTTCAAATACATTTAACTTTTTCGATTTTAATAACTTTTACAAAAGTTAGATCGGCTTTTTAAACCCTAATATTTTTTTTTATATAAAAACACATCGGCTTTTGGATAAAGATAGGATGCACCGACCAATTATATACTAAAAGAACTGTAACTTATGGTAATGGATAACTCAAAAGATCATTATTCTCATAAATCTTGCTTTGCTAACATTTATCCAAATGTTGCTTTGTTTTCAACTTCACAAAAAGAAGGTAAAAGAGATAATATCGTCTGCGGAACAGCAACATGTTTTGGCTCTGCTCCTAATGTTGTGGGACACTATTAAAAACTTTATTCTTACAAAATAAATATATTAGGAAAAAAATCCGTCATTCATATGTTTCACAAATTATTGAAATTCTTATAATGAAATATATTTTTAAATTTTTACCAAAACAAATATAATATTATATATATATATATATCTATCATCTAATTATACTGTTTTTCCTATTTTTAGCACCAACAACATCTCGTCTTTTATGTTTTGCAACTTGTGGCTAACATATTCTTTGAAATGGTAATAATATTAGAAATTTTCATAAACTTCAAAAATCAATTTGAGTTTTTTATTCAGAATATTTCGGTCATAAAAAAATAAAGAGTTTTGAGCAATTTGCCTATTCAGAACCAAAAGGAAAAGCGCCTAAGGGATTACCGACGCTTTTTTTCTTAGACGTTATTTATTCAAATTGAAAAAACGTGGATAATTGAAGAAAATAGTGAATCAAGAAAGTGATGATTTAAACTTTGCTGATTAGTCCACATATCATATTCAGTATAATTACTTTATCTGACTTTTAGTTTTTGTGAGTTCTTTTCACTCGCTTTATCCTAATCCTACTATATATTTTCTGTGAACTTTTACATAATACGTATAGAGCTACGTCACAGACATTATTGGGTGTAAATGTGTAATACATTGCTTCAAGATAAGGGTGTCAAATGACCATATTCGCTCACCTAAACTCAATTTATCATGAGTTAGTGTATCTTAATTATGAGCTAGCTTAGCTGAGTTGAGCTCGTATTTATTAACCGAAACTCATTATCTAAGTACTTTATTAGTTCGCAAATCGTGAAATAAATAATAAGGACCTTTAGATTCACCTGCTTCAAGTGTTTTTAGATTCTTAAGTTTGATAATGAAAAACTACGAAGACAACTTTTTTTTTTTTTCGCAAATTACAAAAGTTCAAGTTTGCGGATAATTGATTTTAATTATCACTAATTCTTTCGATTTGTTTCATTTGCTGTAAGAATATCCGACGACCAGCAAAACTTATATTTCAACTGAGGTATTGAAGTTGTTTGATTAACTTTGCTTAGAACAAGAGTGTACTCTTACGATAATTAATAAACGTACTTCTTTTTTTTGTCGACTAATAAACTTGTTGTTTGACTGAACACGACTATATCACATAATTTTTACTAATAAATTAAAAAAATTGCGAAGTTTGATAACTATTATAGTTCTAACCGCCTCATTATTTTTAATGCAAATGTTATATTAATTTTAATTTTATAAAACAGTGGATGCAAGCAAAATTACCCAAATTCTAATAAGGACCACTTGAAATTATTTTTAATTGACAACTCTAGTGAGTCAATAGTGGGCCATCCGGATTCGATCTCGCCACTTCTCAACTGGGCCTCCGATTAATAATGTGGTTTTTTTTTTTTCATTTTTTTTTTCATTTAATGTTTTAAATTTATTTATATGTTCGTAGTTTCCTATAAAAAAGTCTTCATAGCTGATCAATTTTCCAATAATTAGTATCAACGCATAATATAATTTGTAGATAATCATTTAAACAAAAATATATTTACCATATTTTTGTTTGTTTATAAGAATTTCTTGGTACCCTCAACGCATGCTACACAATTATATGTAGCAACCAGGTGTTAAAAAAAAAATGTAGCAAACCTATCGCAGTTTCAACTAAAATCTGAAATGAAAATATAAGTTGCGTCTGCAAAATTAATATTACGTATTTCTAACATTTATTTATCTTACTACTTTTAAAATATATGAAAATGTAACATCAAAATTTTCCTTCGTAAAATGTAAAATGTGGACATATCAAATTTTAAAACATAACAGATAATTGATAACATATCTAAATCAAATATGATGCTAGTCAGAAATTTCATATTTTAAACCAAATTAAAATATGAGTTTCATAATAAATGATGTTTCGATTTTTTTTACAACCAGAGGGTTTTTTTGAAGAAAGTTACAAAATTTGTTTCTAGAGAGATTGATTTCATTATGATATTGTTTTCTTTTATAAGATGTTTTCAATTTTTAATGTAAAATTTTATTATCTCTTTAATTTCTCATTGATTGAATTTTTTTAAATATATAACTTATAGTAATATTTTAAAATAGAAAAAATAAAAAATAAAATAATTCCTTAATCTATGTGCCAAACCCTTAAACATCATATAAAATTAAACAAAAAGAGCACTATATATGTATTTTTCGAGTAACCAAACAATTTTGAAGTTTAGACATATAATTTCCAACAACTGAAAATAAAAATAGATTAATTAATCACTTCTATTTATCAATAATGAAACCCGTTATTTGAAAAATCTCGCTTTAAGTTTAAAGTAAAATACTAATAAAAACACATTTTGAGACACAAGTAAAACACATCCTCATGGCAATCTTATTTTTTTTCTTTTAAGCTTGATATCTTCCTAAAACTCTCTCTTTGGTAGACAATTTATAATGATCTAGTGGTTGTAAATTTCATCATGAGGTTTGAGAACTAGGGTTGTTTCAAATCTTCTCACTACAATTTTGATTATGGTTAGGTATTGTAAATACATTTAAATAATAAAAGTACCTATTTTTTTAGGTTTTGGAAAATAATTTGGTTTTCGGTCGGAAACGACTAGATTATCAAGCAAATGTTCTTTGCTTAAAAGTTAAAACTGATTGTTTTTCTTTGGGACAAAAATTGTGATTGTTTTTTTTTTCTTCTTTATAATGTGGAGAGAAATTATTGCTGTATGTTCGGAAATTTCCCGCGTTAAAAGGCTTTGAAACATTGACTCGGCTTGTATGAAAATGATTAGAGGATAGTATAACGCAAAGGATTAACACGGTAAATAGAGCCAAAAGAAATTGCAACTAACGCCAAACCTCGACCAACCCGGTAACAATACTTTTGTCTAGTAAAAATCAATCTTTAATTTTAAAATACCAAATTTTTTTTTTTTTTTTTTTGTAAAATTGATATATGAATTTGGTTGAAGGAAAATGAGTTGTCGGAAATCTAAATTGATAAACCAGTCCAATCGTTCGCAATGATAATTTGATGTAACCCATAGAATCTCGCAAGTAGGCTCTACCACTTTTTATATTTAAGTTTATTTGCATGGTAGCTCAAGTTTTCATCACTCATCTCAAAAAAATATCATCCTAAATAGATAGATATCTGAAAACGAATTGTTTTCTGTCGACGCATATTCTCCCGGTACAGGATATATATATTTTCGTTTGAAACCTTAACCAAAAAATTCAACCTGGAATAAAAATTAGTATAAATGCCTATCAAGCCCTGTCTATATTTGGTGATATCTGATGACGCACATAAAATTATTCATGTTTTCTTATAATTACGATGGATTGAAAATATGGATTTGTTCCTTAAAAATTACCCATTCTCATAATTTCTTTATGATTATTATCTATAGTGTAACTGTGTAAGCATATTGAGGACTGGAATGAAGAGACTTGGAGGAACAAGAACCAAATGAACAAATCAAAGCATTTTCTTAACATAAATTTCAAATCGAAATTAGTGGTTTCAACTATATCTACGTCTTTTTTTTTTTCTCAAATTAAACCCATGATTTCGTTGTCAACTACATTTTTCATTTGTCGGCTTAACCCACGATTTGATATTTGAGTTTCAAGAAGAAAAAAATCCCACGATTTGATATAATCAATCAATTCAAATTTAATATCCATTAATTAGACACTTGAGACCAGTCAAGATATCATTACCATGTCCTTAGAAATAGAATATCCCAATTGTGCGTTCATGTCATATCATTCAGTAACAAGATACTCCATCAAAGCACCACCTATAGAGAACATCGTACAAAAGCTTTCTTAATTGTTCTAATAAAATGTAGTTCTCTTTTTTTTTTTTTTTGTTTCCAGAAAAAATAGATTATTACAGATAAAATGTGTAACCGTGTGAGTGACAACTAGGGTTGCACTTAGCTTGAACAAATAAATCTTCATTTTTTTTTTTTTTTTAAACTACTGTTTATGTTCATCTTTTCTTTCCAGTGCAATTAAGTACATCTAATGGGAACATAGACTTTAGGCCGTAATTAGTATTCGATCAATTTGGCAAATCCGGTGTGAACTGAAAAGAATTGAAAGTGACCCACATATATACATCGGAAACGTGCCTTGGGCATAAGAAGGATACTTGGTTCATTAATATACACAGATTGGAAATGTCACATGCTCTATATAATCTTATACTAGTATGCATATATAATTTATATGTGAATCGTTAATAAACAAATAAATATCTTGGGCCGCCTACACGAAATATCCATTTAAAACATGAATGTGAGATGTTCTCGGTCTTGCGGCTTCTTACTATAAATTTGTTTGTTTTCACTTATGAATAAATATAACTTATTATGATCGTCAATTCACAAGTGAATGTGATCATTAAATTAGGTTGAACCTAAATATGATAACACGATGACATTTATTTGAAACAACTCGATTCATAACAAAAAATCCGCAAGATAGCATTTTGGTGGTTAAATAGTAAACTCTTGTTATTTTCAAGATTCAAATATATATCCACCATTCCACCCCACTATTATGGTACGACATGACGAGTGAACGTCTAGTGAGTATTGTTCTACGAGAAAACGTTTCTCAGTAATAAAGTTCAAGCATCAAGTGTCACAAAAGAAAAGTCATGAATGTTTTTGTCCAGAAAACTTACGATATCCGCAAGAACCAACAAAAAAAAAAGGTGCAATAAAGATTGACCTCTGATTTCAATCATTTGAATTAGGCGTGTCAAACCAGGTCGGTCCATCCGTTATAAGTTCTTTCATTGATTCAATGCGAATCGATTCACTATGCCTGCTTATGGTAAATATACGCTTTGAGAACCGAAGTATCTCACTGGCCGGCTACCATACTTCGAAATTTTCAGTATCAAACTAAAATTTTATTTATTTTACAGTTTACATATCTTATATTTTGGAGGTGGTTCTGGTCTTGCTAATCCTAAAGCAAAGTGTACCAACCCACAGATTTTGGCTCGTTATAACACCTCTAATACAAAATAAAAAACCCACTAAAGTTCTAACTTCTTGGTTCAAATTACTTTTTATGATACATGGACAGTGGACACAAGTGAGAATGAGAATATGGAGGTGGCTCTGGTCTTAAATTGGTCCAACAAATCATAGACAATAAAAATAGAAAAGAAAAACAAAGCATGTGATGATTAGAATAAGATCCAGCAAAATAACCGTTACCCTGAAACCTTGTCGGCTCATACGTGGTGACTTCCTCAATCACATGCAAATTTTTTCCCCGAGTTTTCTCGAATGCAAATATTTGCATCAAACAATGTTCCATTGTTGTTTTTTAGTATTTTTCTTGAAACTTGCGAAATAAATTGATCAGTCAAATGGTTGGCTTCTTCTTCTGATGACTTCTGGAAGAAAATTCTTTGAAATGTTCGAGACCACGTGCCAACAAAACACTCTGTAACAGAAATCTAACAAACACATGATCTGATTTTGCCTCAAGGGTGATTTTTCCTTGACCACTTCTGTTTCAATGCTATAAAATCTGTGTAGAACAAAATTTTGATTACAAAAAAAAACCTTATGGTCTGTAACATTTAATGAGCGTTACTTTGAAGTTATGTAATTTACTTGCTAAACTAAAGCAAAGCATAACTGCAAAAAGACATAGCTCCTAACATTTGCTTCATGTTTCTTTGAACTCAGTCCTTTAATTCCGATGTTGGCTTCAATTGGTAACCATAATTTAGGAAAATAATGAGAAGGAATGTGATATTCCTCTTTGTTCCTCAATATTTTTACCATTTACATGTAATATTTTTTCCACATCATTCTTCTACATTCCTCACCAAAAGAGGAGCACTAGAACAAAAATGTTCCTCTCCAAAATTGATGAGAAACAAATGGAACAAAAAAGGAACAAATATTAAAATTCGTTTTTATTTTAAAATAAATAAAAAATAAAGTTTATCAATAATATTTGTATTTTATTATATAATAATTTTCATATCTTCACAATATATTAACATAAAAAATATTTTTGATAAGAATTTCATGTTGAATTACTCTTAAGACTTCACTTGAAAAATATATAAATAGTAAAATAAATTTAAAAATGTTTATATTGTAAAAGAATAATATATTTTAAATTACTCTTTCAATTTTATTTTATGTTAATATTAAATATTATTATTTAAAATGATATATATAAATTTAGTTCACAAATTTTAGGTTCAAATACAAATTTTCAAATTAAAAAAAAAATATATTTAGTATTTTTCATTGAAATTTGATTTATTTACTATTTAATATATCTTTAAAGATATTTTTATTTACTATTTAATGTAAGGCGGATAATCTGGCACGAAAAGTTCGTACAGAACCGCTTCATATCACCTATGTAAACAACATTCCTCAGAAATGACTCTTTTGAGCTCTAATAATTGGATGACAAAAAAAAAAAAAGTTTGGTTACCATTCATCGTAATAGTACATTTTATTCATTCTCTGCATCTTTTCCTTTTCGTTCCTCAAAAATTGTTTATTCCATTCCGTATTGTTCTTTTTATTCCTTTTCTTTTTGTTCTTTTAATGGTTACCAGTCGGAGCCGTTATTTTTTTTTCCTATTTGTTGTATAACAAGTAAAAAGAAGGTGAAACTTAAGAGTCCAAGAAGACATTTTTTTCAGATTAGAGATGCTGTTAACCCAGACTCAACAGTCTCTGAAACGGTCATGGTGATCGAACATAAGATTGAGAAGTGTACCAGTTTGGAAACAGAACCAATGGTAAGGAACTTTAGAAGTCAGTGCAAAACTAGTTTGTAGCCACAATAAAATGGAAGTATGTAGCTACTTCCATAAATAAAGGTTTAAGAGCAATGTTTGTTGCAGACCTAGCTAATAAGCCTTACATTCCAATAACTGCTTCATTTCGAAACGCTAAAAAACCTAATCAATAGAAGTGTAATACTATATGTTTCACTCATTTACGAGGCAAAAGAGTATCAAACTCTTCTTTCTGGATTAATTTAGAAATGTGTTCTTTTGAAATAGACATATTTTCTTTATCGGATTGAAATCCAACAATGCTCAAGTCTCTGCGGTTTCTTCTTTCCTTATAGCTTTCAGTCTTTCTTGAAGTTTCTTGCTTTGTTCGAAATTTACCTTCCGCTTCATAGCTTTCTGCAAAATATTGTATAGATATCTCTAAGACAATGTACTCCACCCCCAAAGAAAGGAAAACTTTGAGCTGGAACTGAAACATACTTCATCGGCTATTAGTAGCTTACCTCTTGGCGGAAACATCGATCAAGCTTTACTTTAAGCTCTGTACATTCTCCGAAGAATTTCCCTATCGGATGATCTATATGACACTTTTGAAATTCCTCAATTATCTAGCAAACATATGACAAACAGAAATAATTAGTAACAACAAGAAAAGAGATCAAATTGATTTCTTCTGCAAGGTTTACTCTTTTCCAAATGCAGTTATGTAGCTAGACTCCACTCAATTTTTAAATTGCATTGCAAAGATTTACTAAAGCTAGAGATGATATTGCATATATCTACAACATCGTTCATCTCTTCTGCATACAGCTCTAAATACACTGTTAAAAGATTGATAAGAAACTAGGATCATATTATTCTCAAAGACGCAGTCACAAAAAGAGGATTGAAACTAAAAATACAGTAAACTCTCACCTCCAGACACATTGGATGTCTATGTGGTGTAAGTGGAGGATGCATCTTTTACTTCTTCTGCAAGAAACAAAAAAAAACTCTGAATCTCTTGTAATGGATGGTAAAAATCAGATCTTTCACTTCTCTGCTAAAAACCCACAAGGAAATGACAGCAGAACCAAGCAAAAACCCTTATGTTGAAGAAGCAAGAGAATGAAAGATTTGGTTTTTGTATCATACTAACATGTCATAAGTCATTGTAATCTGAAATTCTGGATCTCAATTTAGCAAGGAGGAGGACCACAGAGCAAAAATCGGTTTGAAATCATCAGCTCGAGATTCAAAACAAAACTTAATCGAAGAAGAGTCATTAAGATGAGTAAATTACCTTGATTAGGGTATCTATAAGCTGAGAGAGAGAATTCGTTTCGAGCTCAGAGAATCGATGGCGAAGGGAAAGAGAGGATGATGAGTCAAAATGACGTTTGAAGAATAGAGACGGGTCAACATTTTCAGGTTAATGGGCCTATTTAACTTTACTAGTTAATGGGCCTTATCTATTAAGTTCCAAAACGCAGCGCTTTCGTATGTTTTGGATGAGAAGAAAATCAGACATCAGAGGGAACTCTTGGGAGGACACAGAGAAGCGCAAATATCAGAGAGTGTGAAAACGAAGAAGAAGAAGAAACCACAGGTAAGTCGAAGAATATGTGTTTCGATTCTCGAGAAAACGTAAAAAACTGAAATTTGATTTCACAACATATCTATCTCTTGTGGGTGATTTCATTTATGAATTGTGAGCTGAAAAGGAGAACGCTTTAAGATTTTGGGCTCTGAATTGATTTCTTCAGGATGCTTAGCTTGAGATATTCATTACCTTATCTTCTTCTTCAAACAAAGGAATCATCAACAAAGCTCTTCTCCAAAAGGCCTAACAATGTTGTGGTTCGTATTTATCTTTCTTATAGCTTCTTTTAAGTAACATTGTGACAGTATCTTGGTTTCGAATTTTCACCTGTTGTGCGTTCGAATTCAATAATCTTTTTCAGGTTTGTGCAGCGAGAGGTCCAAGACCTCGGTCTCCTCGAGTATGGAAAACAAGGAAGAGGATTGGAACTATCTCCAAGGCTGCTAAAATGATTGCTTGTGTAATGCTCTCTTTTTGACACTCTCTTTATATGGTTTTGTGTTCTGCAAAATCTCTTTTGGAGTTAATGAATATTGTTTATGTACAGATAAAAGGATTGTCGAATGTTAAAGAAGAAGTTTACGGAGCGCTTGATTCCTTCATTGCTTGGGAGTTAGAGTTTCCTCTTGTTATAGTTAAGAAGGCATTAGTTATACTTGAAGATGAAAAAGAGTGGAAGAAGATTATTCAGGTTTGTTTATTAAGCAAGAAGAGCTGTTTTATTCTTCTTTTTTTTAGTTGGATGAATGTAGAATAAGTTTATGGATTTTGTTAGGTGACAAAATGGATGCTGAGTAAAGGCCAAGGAAGAACAATGGGAACTTACTTCTCATTACTAAATGCTTTAGCAGAAGATAATCGGCTTGACGAAGCTGAGGAATTGTGGAACAAGTTGTTCATGGAACATTTAGAAGGAACTCCAAGAAAGTTCTTCAACAAAATGATCTCTATATATTACAAGAGAGATATGCACCAAAAGCTCTTCGAGGTACACTGAAAATCTTTTTTACTAAGTGTATTTGCAACTAGCAGAGATTCTTTCAGACAAGTTGATGTCTAAAACTATTGAGTGTGATCTTAGGTCTTTGCTGATATGGAGGAGCTTGGAGTGAAACCGAATATTGCGATTGTGTCTATGGTTGGAAAAGTGTTTGTGAAATTAGAGATGAAGGATAAGTACGAGAAACTGATGAAGAAATATCCTCCACCTCAGTGGGAGTTCAGATACATCAAAGGAAGACGTGTTAAGGTCAAGGCAAAGCAGCTAAATGAGCTAAGCGAAGGTGAAGGTGGTTTAAGCAGCGACGAAGATAAGATTGATACTGAGATTGAGAGTAAATCTAAAATTTTGTCAGATAAGGAACCAAAGCAAGATGGTGAGGATCTTAGTGAAGAGGAAGAAGATGAAAAAGAATTTTTGGGTGGGAATCAAGGACAGATAGGAACTTCTAAAGAACCCAGTCTTGATCATTTGGACTCTTCATGACTTAAAGTGTTTGCTTCATGAGTTTGAGATCGTATCAACCGTTGAATCATCTATAAGGAAAAGAGATAGACGGCCAAAGTTCTTCAAAGAAGCTTTCTGGGGCTGTGCTTCGGTTTCTGAAGAAAACATGACCAGAAAAGTTTTGAACTATTTGAGCTTAAGAGTCAAAACAAGATATAGATTTGAAGAGTCAACTAAAAAGAGTATTAAATTCAGCAAAAGATTAAATACTGTAAAATCTTTGAGTACAACTGTGTAAGCTTTGAAAACAAAAGTTATTGTATAATTTCAGATCAAAGTTAACTACTTTATGTTTTTTTACTCTTCATCTGATCCTGACTCTTCAGAACTCGATTCCTTCTTGTTTACTTTCTTCTTCGACCCTCTCTTCTTATCTTCCTCGTCTTCGCTGTATTCGCTTTCGTAATCCTCCTCTTCAATCTCATCTTCGTCGTCCTCCAATCCTTCTTCTGCATTCTCACCTTCCAAATCACGGGTTCTTTTCAAAACCTTAACTTTCAGTGATGTCTTTTGGTCACAGCCAATCCAAGTATCGCTTAGGCAGAAGCAAGTCAAGTTATAAGTACCTTCTCCAGGTGCTAAGAGTCTCCCCATTACCAATCTCGACCCACTTTTAACCTTCTCAACAGCTTCTTTAACTGCATCATTTGTTTCCTTGACGCTTGCTCCTAAAGGCTCCATTGTCTCAGTAATAGCATTTGATGCAGCGGCTATAGCTCCTGCTTCATCCATGAAACTAACCTTCTGAAAGAACCAGACATTGTTTGAATCCGCAAGAAGAACCCAAAAGTTTTCCTCTTTGTGGAAAGGAAAGTAAGGTGAGTGAGGAATAGCGCCTATGAGTCCATTGGGACGTTTTAGAGTGATCCAAGATTGAACTGTCATAATATCGCCTTCTTGAATACCTTCTTCGCCTTCTGTTTTGCAAGTGATGCCGATTTTAAGAGAAGGAATCATTTCTAACACTTTCTCGATGTCTTGAACATCGGGTTCTGACAAACTCGCAACCTCTCTGAGCAGTTTAGAACGTTCTTCCAAGCTCAGTTCTTGAAACTTTTGGAATGATTTAACCTGCAACGCTATCGATTTAGCGATAGACTCATTGAAATGAGGGAGTTGCAAGAAAGGAGCAATGTCTTCTGAAGATGACTTCCTCGCACTAAGAGGAACAGCCTGCAATCAAACAACAACTATAACTAGGCTGAAAAATCTTGAAATTTTTGGGCAAAAGTAAAGTTGGAAACATCTTAATACCTGAACAATGCACTGAGATAGCTCCATTACTCCAAGCGCAGGACGTAACCATCCACGCCCTTGTTCATTGCGGGGTATAACCGCCATCTGTAAGAAACTCACAATATCATATGGTTTCGTGTTAGAAAATTTCCAATGCTTAAGAACAAAGTCGAAAACTTTTTCACACCTTCTGTAAATTAGGAGATTCAAGTCATCATCAACTTTGTAATAATCTTTATTTTATCAGATACAATGTGCTATGCAAAAAAATAGAGACTATAAAAGACCTTCATCAAATCTTCAAGGAGGCGAGGCGCAAACTCTAGCACACGCCTGAAATCACGTTGCAGAGTCAGAGACAGAACTGATGATTCACGAGTTAACTGTTTCTGAATCAAAAGCTCAGTCTGTTGCAGAGAAAAACGAATGGGAAAAAAAGTTAGCACTTTCAAGATTTTATCCAATACTTTGTGTTACTCATGTGTTAAAAAGCAAACCTTGATAATTGCAGGATTCTTTTTCCAAAACTTAGCTTCCTCTTGCTTCAACTTCTTAGGATCCAGATTTAGCTCGTTCTTGACAGAAGTATAGAGTTTCTGCAGAGATTCATCGTCGGTTTTACGAACTGGAATCTCTGCATATTCATCTGCTTTGATGAAAATTTCCATAACTTTGCTTGGAGTTAAAGTGGGTTGCAATAACTCAAAATATGCTTGACGAGTTTGAAGCTTAACGTGATTCCCAGTATACTTTGATGATCTCCAGAGATAGACCGAAGCGATCACCAGTGGCAAGAGAATACATAAACCAACTGTACACAACAACAATACCCCACCAGAATCTCCATTCATGTTTAAGATAAATTGAGGAAGAGCAATTCCCATTGTATACCCCTGCATCAATCACATTTACAGATATTTCAGTTATCAATTGAGGACACTAAAGCCTACATTTTTGCTACAAAAACATGAGATTATGGCCTTGATTGTTTCAAGCACAAATTTGTGCATTTGCGTTTGTTTTAACATGTGTTCACAAACTATATTTGCAAATTCTAAGCTCAAAAGCTTCCTTCTGATTTGCATTTAAGTTTTGTCATTACCTGCCTACCATCCGGATGACCGTACTTCTCAAAGTTTTCACGGGATAACGGATCAGTCAAAGCTTGGTAAGCTTTAGCTATGGACTCCACAAAATATTTATTGGCTTCTGTACAATTAAAATACACAAATAAGCACACACAACAATGAATCAAAAGGAAAGAAATCAAGCACGAAGCATTTTTCGACCTGGATCAGGATTTTTATCAGGATGGTATTGAATAGAGAGTCTCCTATAAGCTTTCTTGATTTCTGAATCTGAAGCACCAGGTTCCAAGCCAAGTATACCGAATGGCTCAAAGAGTTGACTCTGTAATATTTACCCAAGAAGCAAATAAAAATCTCAACCAGAAGCAATCTCGGATTAAGCTTGAAGAGAGAATTATTAGTTATTACCTCACGGCTAATGTTCTTAGTGTAATAGATCAAGAAGATCATTACAATCCAGAGTAGCACAACTGTCAAGTTGCTACATGAAGTGAAGCTAGATATCTGCAGAAAACAAAATCCAACAAGTTAAAGAAGTAAGAACATAAACTAATCATTATTCAAAAAGAGTTAGTGGTGGAAAAAAGACAAAACTCACTCTTTGAGAAATAGATCTCTTGTACTTCCCTGAACGATCACATTCAAGACATTGACAATGTATACTCCGTTGTTTCTTCGAAAAAGCGCGGCTTAGCTTCACAAATGTATAAGGCACCAATGGAATTGCCATCATTGTCAAAATAAAAATGGGAAACAAAACGCTATTCTCTTCTGATTCTGCCATCTTTTAGACCCTTCTTGTTGATGAAGAGCCCTTTAAATCAGAGATTCTGCAGAAACAAAATTTCTTTGTTATGCTTGCATATGATTAACAACATGATTAATCACAAGTAAAATTTGATTCAGGATAGATTTTAAATCACATCGGAATAAACATGAAGGAGATCAAGAGGAGACATGTGCATAATTCCAAAAATTTTGTTTAATTTAACGTAAAGACGTACGAATCAAAGGAAAAATCAGGTAAAAATTTGGATTTTCGATAGCATGCTAATCAAAAAGAGAAAGGAAGCAAGAAAATGTTTACCTTGATCAGAGAAGAAATTGAAGAAACAAAACTGCTGACTTTAGGAATCGAATTGCGAAACTGAAGAAGACGAAGAAGAAGAAGTGAGGTTTATGAAGAAGAGAAGGTGATGAATCATTACAGCCAATGAAAATACGACACGTAACGATGATATTGAGACATAACGCAGCGTTTTGTCCACTGTTTACTGTTTAGGTAATAAGTAATGACGTTGACTGATTTAAGAAGAAGATCTAAAGAACATTGAAGCTCATGCGTATCTGAGTCTCAATGCACTGAGCAGCAGAGGATAACTCACACCCTCAACGTCAAGGCTAAGATTCAACCAAGTTTGCATCTTGATGTGTTCGGTAACTTCGGTGCAATGGTAAGATCGCTTTAAAGCCTTGGCCTTTTGTAGTTCTTTACCAATTTCCTTAAACCCTTTCAGCTTTAAGGATGAAATTTTGGCTTAAAGTGTGGATTTTGGGGTTTGCTTAGAAAAAAAGGATAGATTTTTTGAATTGGTACAAACGAAAGTGAAGCACTTAAATGGTTCTACTCCACACAAGTGTTGGATTCTTTAAACGATTTTCGACTTCAGCGACTCCATCAACATCCTCTGCTTCCGATTGGAAAACCCAACAGACTCTGTTCCGATTAGCCACCGAAATCTCTTCGATTCTCTTACAACGTCGTAACTGGATCAGTCATCTCCAATATGTTAAATCCAAGCTCCCAAGGTCAACACTTACTTCGCCAATATTTCTCCAGATCATCCGTGAAACTCGAAAATGCCCTAAAACCACTCTTGATTTCTTCGATTTTGCCAAAACCCATCTCCGGTTCGAGCCGGATCTTAAGTCCCATTGTCGGGTAATAGAAGTTGCTACTGAATCAGGTCTGTTGGAACGAGCAGAAACACTCTTGCGGCCTCTGGTTGAAACTCATTCTGTGTCTCTAGTTGTTGGATCGATGCATCGGTGGTTTGAAGGTGACGTTTCACTCTCTATCTCGCTTAGCTTAGTGATTGAGTGTTATGCCTTAAAGGGTTGTTACCAAAATGGTTTGGAAGTGTTTGGTTTTATGAGAAGATTGAGACTTTCACCTTCTCAAAGTGCTTATAACTCTCTTCTTGGTTCTCTGGTTAAAGAAAACCAGTTTAGAGTGGCTTTGTGTTTGTATAGTGCTATGGTTCGAAACGGGATTGTCTCCGATGAGTTAACTTGGGATTTGGTTGCTCAGATTTTGTGTGAACATGGAAGATCCAAGAGTGTTGTTAAATTGATGGAAACAGGTGTTGAAAGCTGCAAGATTTACACCAATCTTGTGGAATGTTATAGCAGAAATGGAGAGTTTGATGCCACGTTTAGTTTAATTCATGAGATGGATGGCAAGAAACTGGAGTTGAGTTTCTCTTCTTACGGTTGCGTATTGGATAATGCATGTAGATTGGGAGATGCTGAATTGATCGATAAGGTTCTTGGTTCAATGGTGGAGAAAAAGTTTCTTACTTTAGGTGATTCGGCTTTGAATGATCAAATGATTGAAAGACTTTGCGATATGGGGAAAACGTTTGCCTCTGAGATGCTTTTCCGTAAAGCCTGCAATGGTGAAACAGTGAGATTGCGGGAGTCGACATACGGTTGTATGTTAAAAGCTCTGTCAAGAAAAGAGAGAACAAAAGAAGCTGTTGATGTATATCGAATGATTTGTCGGAAAGGTATTAATGTACTTGATGAGAGTTGCTATAACGAATTCGCAAATGCCCTTTGCAGAGATGATAATAGCTCAGAGGAAGGAGAGGAATTGCTTGTAGATGTTATAAAGCGCGGTTTTGTTCCTTGTACATACAAGTTATCAGAAGTTTTAGCATCAATGTGTCGGAAAAGAAGATGGAAATCCGCAGAGAAGCTTCTTGATTCGGTTATGGAAATGGAGGTTTATTTCGATTCTTTTTCATGTGGGTTGTTGATGGAACATTACTGCAGAAGCGGGAAACTAGAGAAAGCACTGGAACTACATGAAAAGATAAAGAAGATGAAAGGAAGTTTAGATGTTAATGCTTATAACGCAGTTCTTGATCGGCTTATGATGAGGCAAAAAGAGATGGTGGAAGAAGCAGTTGGAGTTTTCGAGTACATGAAAGAGATGAAATCAGTGAACAGCAAAAGTTTTACAATTATGATTCAAGGGTTGTGTCGTGTGAAGGAGATGAAGAAAGCTATGAGATCTCATGATGAAATGTTGAGATTGGACATGAAACCTGATTTAGTATCCTATAAGCGTCTTATCTTAGGTTTCAAATGAAAACTTTTGGTTCAGTCTGAGATTTGAAGAAGATCCAAATGGAATCAAAACAAAATCTGAGATTTGAGTTATACAAGTAGTCTACTCTTCTGTAAGAAGAACGTTACAACAAAATACCAAAGAGGGTTTTCAAGATCGAAGTTTCAAAAATTTGTCAAACAAGAACAAAGGGGGGAAATGTTATAATGAATGAATACAATAATAAGATTTGTTTGATATATGTAATGACCCTATTATATAGTTGATTATTTATTGGTCAAGAGGCAGCCACTCCATTTCTAGTTCTAGTTCACCAGATTCAACATTCTGAAGCTTGATCTGAACCTCTTGTTTCACTTTACCATCTGCAATGTTGATGATGCTATCTTCTATAAGAGCATTGTCGTGCGATTTCAGCCATTTTCCAATCTGCATATCTCCAAACATTTCAGGGTCTCCAAAAGCCATTGCAGATGTAATCAGAGGTTGGATATCAATCTCAGCTTCTCCCATTATGTCATCAGCAGAAAATGTGTCATAATCAAACACTTGCTGCAAAATGTCAGGAGAAGACATAAAATGTAAGGGGGAAACTTCTGTAATAGATTCATCAAGAGTAGAAACTGATTTTGGAAATTTTAGACCAAGCTTTTACCAATTTCACTGAGCCATAGTTATGAGGAACAGAGAGCATGAGTTCCTCGTTCCAGACTGGGTTCAAGTTGCTCTTCACTACAGTAGATTGAGCCTTCTGGTAATATGGTGATAAAGATCAGAAAAAGAGATGACAAATTGATAATGATGATCAATTTAACAATAGTAAGAACTAAACAAAGTATTCACTTAATTACCTGTTGTCCTAAAGTCAACACAACATAGGGATCACTTGACATCATATCTCGGACGGCTAAATTGGTACCCTTTTTAATAGTCACCTTCAACAATCCAATAAACTCAACCATGCCTTCAAGTTGCTGTCATTGTTTTAAATTTACAAAACCAGGACGAAATGTGTTAACACCATGAATCAGAAGACTAAGCAGTATCCAAGTTCAAAGAGTTTGCTCTACTTGATTCTAACAGTGAGATGGGAAAAAAGATGAAAGATAAAGAATCTTTACCGGCTGTTGCGATGATGAATTAGTGCGAAAGCTATCAATAATCTTTTTAGATATACTTGATGAAAGATATGGTGTACTCTTTGTGCTAGAGCCCCTCACAGATGTGATTCGCAAGCTTGGTTTCAGAAACTCTTGGTGCTCATATTTAGACCTGAAATCAAGATTTGAGGATGAACATTTTCACTAATATATTACTGATGGTATATACACATTTATCGGGGTTTTCATAACCTACCTAATGAACCTCATACGCTGGTCATGACTAGCATCAGGTCCAGGCTTAGAGCTTCCTTCAGGTATAAATGCCTCATAAATTGAATTCGCAGAGGCATTTCCTCCAATTTCAATCATAGAATCGACTTCTTCATCTGACCATTCATCCAGTGTCACAGATAAGACCTGGAAAGTCCGAAACTATCAATATACTTGCAAAAGATTCTGTAAAGAAGAAGTGGTGAAGCAATAAAAGTTGTTCAGGAGGAAACTCTATCGCAACTGTCGTGTAAATAATTTCCTCAGCGAGATAACATCTCCACAAGAGTATTTGAAAGCCATCTTAGTGCAATCCAATGAAAATTTTGCACAAGAGAAAAAAGCAAAAGTAGAAGGAGAAGCAAAGAGTCATCACCTTTGAGATATGAGTGCCAAGGCTTCTGTGCACACCGCAACATTTTAAGCATATAAACACTCCGATATTTGCTGACCTGTGACAAGCCACCAATGCCTTATTAAACAACCAAACAAAATGCACAAGTAGGGAAACAAGAAAAGCTATAGCAGGAAAACAAGAACATAACATAAATCAAACTGCTTAGAGAAGCATACAAGATTTAGTGGAACAAAACATAAAAATGGCAAAACTTACGCCCACTTAGGATCAGGAGCGCCACAATCAGCGCAGACTCGGTTATCAGATTGAGTTAAAAGATCCCTTATTCTCCTTTTACCTGTGAAGCAACAAGGTGAATAAATCAGTCACAGCCACAAGTAGAAACATGATATGACTAAATGAACACACAAAGACTTAGAAAAAATGGTTACCTGAGCCAGACTTAGAATAACTCATTGCTCTTCTAAAAAGCTAACAATCATCAAACAGAATCCTACACAGACAGATCAAAGAAAAAACGAGACAATAATATGTTAGGAAAAAATCAAAAGTTTCATGATTTAAATGTAAAAGCCTATAATATAGAGATCAAACTCTGCTTTTGGCAAACATTTTGGGGGAACCACGACCAAGAACATATCATTTTCAATATCCATTTGTAAGATCATCAGTATCGATTCATGTTCCCAAAATCAAAATTCAAAATTTAAGGAGAGACGAAACAAGAAAAAAATAATCCAATCTTGTGCCATTTCTGAAACCATCATTTCAACGTCAAAAACATGACCGACAGGGAAAAGTCGACTTACAGAGAAAGAAATTCAAACTCGACAGATACATAATAAAAACGATGAAGAAAGGAAGAAGAATATGTACGGAAATTCGAACAAGAAGATAGATTAGATTAGATTGGATTGGATTGGACGTTCTTACCAAGGAGGAGGAGAGAGAGAGAGAGATATGTTCTTGGAGAGACACAAATTCAAGATGAACCAAACAATTATCTAAAAAGACAACTAGTACGTGCTTTTTCTCTCTTCTTTTAAAATTTAATTTTCCATTTTTTCATTTCACTGGAAAGTTGTGTAAGTTGTAACGATGCGGGTCAATTACCAAAATACATTTCCTTGTCGTTGACTCGTTTCGTGTCTATCATTTAATTTTTTTAAATACTATTTTGTACATTATTTTCAGCATTTGTTTTTATTTTCACTAGAATGATATTCGGTTTGATTTTCATGTCATATTTAAGATTTTATTTCGATTTTATGGCCAGCCTTTTCCAATTTTAAAAAAATTTTGTTAGACCTTTAACTTTCCACAAACACTCATAAAGTGTTAATAATTACGAAACTCGTTTGATCTAATAATGAGCTAATAATTATCTCATTTGATTTGGTTCAACGAAAGCGACACTCTTGATAACTCTTTTAAGACTAAACTGAGAGCAAGAAAAATTCTGCAATCCTTTTGAATTTGTCTATCACCATAATCTATATAAGCAATGCTACAAAACTGAAATACGCATAAACCAAAAAAAAAGATCCGTCATAGTGAATTTCTCTTCTTCAAGCAGATTTCAACTTGTTCGATGCTGCTGCGAGCTGAGATAGTGTTCTGTGTCCGACGAACAACAGAAACACTCCCAACAAAGAAAGTGCCTTGAGAGTCGTGAACAGATCCAACTGTAGATTGCAAACAAACAAATTATGATGAGCACTTTGATGCAATGGTCCTTATAGTCTAAACAAGAATAAGTTATGAAAACTTGCCTTTAACCAGAAAAGCACATAGAGAAGCAAAACAGCTCCAATTCCGCCGTGGAAAAGTAAAGCCGATATTGCAGATCCAGTCGACGATGGGAAGCTCTTTATGTTCACTCCCAACCGTGTAAGCTGAAACATAAAAGGTTTATATGAGTTGTTTAGGATACCGTAGTGATGTTTTTCAGATATTATTTACAAGTAAAGGGAGACTGACCCCTATCAGGAAACCGATGAATGGGAGGACGATAACTCCCAAGAAAACTAGTGAGAGCTGCTTTGCTGGAAGCTTTTCAGGAATCCTGAATATGTGTGATATTTCAGCTTTTGGTCCATATCTTGAGTAAGGTTCAGTAGATTGTTGAGGAGGACGAGGCGCCTTCTCTGGACGCTCTGGTAGGTCTAGTTCGATGTGGCCAATATTACTCAGTAAAGAGTTCTCCTGGAAAAAAAGAGAAAGGAAGATAACATTGTTTAAATTTCCGAGACTTAAATCAACTGCATTGGACCTGAAAGAACAGTACTTACCATAGAAGCATCTCCAATGGTTAGCTGGATCTCATATTTACCAGAGAGGTAGTAGAGCTTCTCAACCAATCCAAGAAAATCCTGAAGGTAAAAATAACATAAACCATTAATATTGTATTTAGGACGTCATTAATTTCACCAAACTTGACCGTAGCAAAATGAAGGTAATGAAGGTAGGTAAAAATAACATATACCATTAATATATATATATTTGCAAAAGCAATTCAAAATGAAATTTAAGGAACTTAACTAGAACTAATTCAGCCTTCTTGCCAGAAGTTTTCACGAGATAGATATGCTCGACCTGTGACTCATGTTTCAGCTTGAAAAATGCCTGCATGGAAGTAAGCAAGTTAAGAAAGTGAACAGAACAGAATAAAACCACTGATGAAGCGGAAATCAAGAATGAACAAACCTGGTGTGGCTTAAACGCATTGCCAATTGGAGTAGTTAACTGGAACGACAGGCGTAGCTTTTGAAGGTGGTTTGCTGATAATGATACCGCTCCATCTTTAGTTAAATCTAGCCTACAAATGTTTCAAAGAGGACCAAGAAACAAAAAAGATGACAATAAGCACAACAAAAAAAAAAAGTTGAAAATATATATTGTAAGCAACAAATGGTACAGAGTTCCTAAGAAAAACGGTTAAAGCAATCAATCAAAGTAAGCAAAAAAGGAAGTTGTTTAACAACAATACAGGTGACATACTTTTTTTGAGATTCAACACTCCCAATGTCACTGTCAAGTACAGCAATTTCTGCATTTTCAATGCTAATAACTCCTGTGGCAGCTATAGGGACTTTTGTTTGAGCTTCGGTTATGTATACTTTCTCATGTGCTGAATCATCCAGTAAAATCTGCAGAAGAAAAAGCTTATCATGTTATCATCAAACTTTTCTATGAAGTCTTTGGGTGTAATAATGACAAACAAGTGCAATACCTCAAATACAAATGTATATTTTCCAACGTCAAAGTTCTTGGGAAAGGAGTCCAGGAAGTACGTTGCACTGTCAGCGTCAAACTTAAGCTCCTGTACCCAAAAATGTAATGGAAAATTGTAAACCGGCCTAATGCAGAGAATAAGGAACATTTTCTATTGCAAGCTCAAACAGTCAAAGATACATTATTTACCTGGTTATTTATTACAGATGAATCCACAGATTTAGAACTTAGAGCTTGTGTGAGCTTCACACTAAGAGCTGGTGCCTTCGAACCCAGTACAGTGCTAACTTTAACCTAGTTCCAGATAAAAAGAATAAAATATAAAATAATATACAAAAAAAACGTAATGGATGAAGGCTCAACTAAAATGAGTCATTATCAAATAGATGAGAGATCTCTACAAAGAATATGGAATGCTATGAGCCTGAGGAATCTCTAAACCGTACAAATCCAACAGATAGCCAGAAAGTCCAAAGTTCAGACTTTCACTACTAAAGTACCTTTAGAGGCTCTTTCTTTGTCAACGAAATGACAGTAGATGGAAGAGACAAGATGAGTGGAACAGAAAACCTGAAATGATAGTGAATGACCATAGAACAAATTATTGTTCCCATAGAATGATAAAGTTTCAGCAAGAGCATAATAAATGAGGAAGTGGTTGAAATTTCATGAGTGTTTGAACTTTTGTGGTAATCTTTCGTTCAAATTTCTAGGATGTACCACCAAAAGACCTTCATAACTATTTAACAATGTAAAGAGAAACAGTTTTTCTCTTTCAAAACCAACTGTTAACACAGAAGAATGAAAGTAACAGTAAGTCCTTGTAACTCTTATGTCTTTCACACCACTCAATTCAAGGTTACTGAAATCATATCTAAGATGTGTACTGGAAGAAACTAATAAGAGAATGCATAAAAGGGGCGTGAAAGTAGCATTACTTGTTGTCTTCCAAACAAGCTAGTGCATCTATTTGGTTGAAGAAGTCCTTGGCATCACCAGGAATTCCAACACCCAGAAAGAATTTGGCCAGACCAACTATCTTATCACCTGGCAGCTGCATGAGATAATGGGGTGCGAAGGTAAAATATCAACACATATGTCAGAATAGGATACAGTGAAATATGGGTATTACATACGTTCAATCCTGTGGATTCTGAAGCTGCAAATGACGTGAGCCCTCTAATTACTGATGCAGTTGTTGAGATCGGGCCTTGACTTGCATCAACAGACTTCTCATCAAAATAAAATGTCCCATCGTCTAAAGACCAAAAAAATAATTCAAACCCCACAAAAGCAAAACCAAACTGGAAAAAACTATGAAGTGAGTGAAGAGAATATCCTATGCATATACAAAGGATAGCGAGTAATTTACTGCATACCAAATTTTTGGATACTGTCAAATAGCTTCACGATTCCCTTCTTCAACGTCTGGATCTACAAGATGATAAACATGAATGACGATCATTACATGAACATTTATAAATCAAAATACCAGATAAAATGGCAAAAAAAAATGAAAAGAAACCACCAGAATAACCAAATAAGAAGTCAGCTAGACATGCATAATTATCGAAACACAATTCTCACATAATTATAATTATCAAAACACAACTCTTTATTTTAGTTACTAAGAGATTCCAGAACCAAAAGTATCAACACTAAACCAAGATATCGTAGTGATGTCTCATCAAAATATATTCTCAGAAAAATCAGTAGTATAGTGGATCAAACATCTCACTTACCAAAGATGGATCAAGCTCTGAAGGTGCTAATGAAATCACTCCAGCAAGCGTTTCGTAGGCTAAGCCTGAGAAAAAAATTCTTACGTTGAGAAGAATGAGAGAAATAACAAAGAGCAAAAGAAGTGAACAAGGTGAAGCAATAAAGGAAGGGATACATAATCTAAAAGGTTCATCATAAACGTTCAACATTTTGAAGTAGGAAAGGGTTAATCTAATATGTATTACTAACCAGCAGCAAAGGTGCTTGATTCTGGATTGTTGGAGCTGTAGCGCCATCTTCCATCACTCTGGCTAAGAGCCTGATACAAATGGACTATATCAGCCAAATAATACTCGGAAAACAATCTATAAGTAGTATTAATATATAACTGAATCTTGGTAACATATCCAAAAATATATATATATATATATATATATATATCCATCCAAAAATACAGTGTACAATGTCACATCTGATAGTTCACCAACAACAAAATTGAAGGTCAGCTAAACAAGTAAACCTTGATGGAACGGAAAATGGCTTCGGCATCTCCAAGACTTATATCAGTTCCAGGAAATTGCTCCTGCATTCATGGAAAGGTAAGGTCAAACCTGAAGCCAGGAAAAAGAAAAGGCAGGAAGCCAAATCTATGGAGTTGAATAAAATAACATAATCACGATCACAGGAACCTTATGCAAAAACATTTTCATACTTCAACGTAATGAGCAAAAAAACTAAGAAAACTCTCGTAGAAATACTCAGTGGAAAAGGATGTAGGTAATCCCCTCAAGACGTCCACCAAAAGTTCAATTCGTATTTACCTTAACGAGCACCAAGCCTCTGACAGAATAATAGAAGTCAAGCAATAACTTGGCATCTTTAACACCAGCTTGTAGTTGAGAAACAATGTCCTTCAAAAGAGGAAAAGAAAGAAAAGATAAGGTTACTTTAACCGCTTAATGGTAACATACCATTGTGATACTGAGAGGAGACAATTGTTTACCTTAGGACCAGCTTCACCAATTTTACATTTCAGAATCCCATTAACGTTTAACGCATAAAATGCATCCTTAAGAGTAGAAGAAGACGACCCAAGAACTTTAACGACATACTCACAAGTCGCTGAGCTAAGATCAGACTTTTTCTCAATTCCAAGAATCTCTAAAGTCTTTAATGCTTCATATGCCTCCTCCAAGCTAATCGTAACAAAAATGAGATAAGTCCGTACATAAACCATATACTATACACAAAACAATTCATGAACTTTAACTAGCAACCAATAATGTAATCAGCGAAATGTGGTAAAAAAAAAAACTAAATCAAAGCAATGCCAGCTTAAGAGAAAGAAACCAACCTTTTGTATGATCCATCGACTGGTACGAAGACATCCAGAGCCGCAGATCGGTGAGAGTCTGAGATCGGCTGGAAAACAGAAGCAGCACCGCAAATTGCTACGACGAGTATCAAAACCAGAAATCGTACGCCACCTCCGGCCATCATCACTGCATAAGAAGAGAAAACTCAATCAAAATTCAAACAATCACACATCTACGACGGATAGGTGGGAAAATCAGCCAAAGACACAGAAGCTTAAGGCACTTACAGATCGGAAGTAGATCGAATCGGATCAGAGGTCGACGAGTCTCAGTAGTCAACGGAGACTGAGGTTTGAGGTAAGCCTAGGAATCGATCTATAGCTTTTGAACCAGACGAACCAGAGAAGGCTAAAAAATGAGTGTGAGTTTGATGACAGTACCTGATATTACCGATTTACCCTCGCTTTGAACTTAAATTACATTTCGTGAAACGACGACGTATCTGGAAACCCTAAACCTTGAAGATCAACTTCAACCACCATTTTTATTTCAAACAGAGAGCTCTGAGGAAAGGCTCAGAATCTGAGAATGATCCGATTCGCGAGACCAAAACCTATATTTGACTCAGTGAGTCACAATCTTCTCCAGAAATGTTACGCTAGTGGAACCCCTAAAGGAAAATCGAAGCTGAAGACAGGCCAACCATTGAAACGGAACAAACTCACAATCAAGAAAGGCGGAGGTGGTGATGCGGCGGTTAAGGGTAAAGGAAGAATGATCACAGATGAGCAACAGAAGCTATACGATCAATGCATAAACGCTCCTTGTCCTGTTCGTTACCTGAGACCTAAGGAGAGAGAGCGAGAAGCGAGACGAGAGAAATTAGGGCTAATCAGTAAAGCGAGGCAAAAAGAGATTGATTTTCAGAAGAAAGGTGGCTCTTTTGCGATGGGAGTTACTACTGAGCCGATGAGAATTGGGACTCCAGGATTAGATTACATTTCTTTAGGGATTTTTACGGAAGATGAGTTACCGAAGTATAAGGTTACGGTGGAGGATGGGATTAGACTTGCGAAAGAGTATAGTAGAGTGCTTATGAGAGAGCATAGAGCGAGACGTGTAGCGGAGATTAATTTGGTGAAGTTGAGGAAAGCTGCGATTGAGGCATTGCCGGAGAATTTGAAGAAGGGGGCGTTGGAGCGTGATTTGACTCCGTTTCCGGTGAATCGAGGATTGGCTACTCTAACGCCGCCTATTGAAGGGTATTTGGAGAAGATTATGAATGCAGCGGCTAAGAAGAGCTCAAGTAAAGAGAAGTTGAGATGATCTTGATAAGGTTAGAGGAATTTGTCTTTGCGTCATTTAGTTTTCTCTTGTTTTGTGTTGGAGATGGAGTGGTGTTGATTGGATTTCGATCAAAGGATATAACTTTGAGACATTTCTACTTGAAATAAATGGCCATATGGCAGTTACCACTATATGATAAGCTTGAAAGTTTAAATCTTTTTCTACATTCTTCTGTTTGAGATTGAGTTATTTCATAGCAGCCTTCTGAGTGGTGAAGTTGTCTACGATGTAACTGGAATCTTGTTAATCCTCTTTGGATAACTCTTTTGTATCTCTTTCCATGATTCCTTTGCCTGTTTGCATACTCCTTTCGAATCTCAATTGTTCAGTATTATGTGTATGAACACTACACCTTGATCTCTTCATATCTACTGACCTTTTTAGTAAGGCCAGTGGGTCATGATCAGCTCAAACTTGGTGTAACCAAAACCATATTCCTATATAGTGATTACCAATAACTTGTAATCTACACGAAGATAACAATTGTTTAATCAATATGGGCGTTGGGGTTTGTGCTCTGTGAGCTTCGTGTTAGATTTCTTTATTTGTGTTGTGAGAAATATATAACTGAAGTTCAGCGGAATGTTATGTAGGAAAGGATGTCCTGCATCTGCTTGTGCTTCTTCATTCAATTGCCTAGATTCTGGGTATTTTCTTCTAGCTCTCCAAATTCATTTTCTGCATCTTGTTACCTCGTAGAGTGCAATGGCAAGAGTCCTAAAGCTACAAAGACCACGATTCTCCAAGGAACATCATAGTTTGAAAGCTGAGGAAGCTAGTCTAGAGAGAATTGGCTAGTGGTTAGAATTTATCTAATGACCTCTTGGCTTCTATGTTTCCTTAGTCTAGTAGCTATTTTTGTAGACATATTGAATCCGAATCTCTGGTAAAATAATCAAGTTTGTGTACCTCTTGACTTCTTAAACCACAAATTTTATAAATTCTAGTATTCTATAGGATCTTTTGAATACCACTAAAACAAAGTTCCTCTATGCGTAAAGGTCAGATTGTATTTGTTGTTTAATCAATAAACCAAGACAGCATAAAGCAGGAGAATCAATCTTAATCAGAGCCTATGTATGTTCTCTTTCTTCTCTTCCATTGTAAAAAAAAAAGTGATAGTTGTACAACTTCTATATAAGCTTAGCTTCTAAAAAAAAAACTTGAATCAATCTAAATTGAGATCCCTTCATGAAAGCCTTAAGGGATGTATTGTAACACCGTTCTGCGCAGATTTTAAGCAACCCCATCTTCCGAGTCGCGGTTCCTGCCATATATACAAAGTTCCCAAACACAACAGTTAAGATTGGCATTCACACAGGACGAATACATATATGTCTGGTCAGAGAAAAAATGTGTACCTGTCCAACACCAGCTATCAGAAACTGGCCAGATTTTGCAAAAGCTAAAGAGTTCACAAACCCAGGCTGCAAAAGGATCATAACCATTGGATGTAAGTAACATATGCATTAAACAAATAGCAGTGAGAGCCGAACTAGGAAACAAACTTACAAGTGGAAGCTCATATAAAGGTTGTATAGCTCTAGATCCACTTTCAACACCCCATAAACGCACACAACCATCACCAGCTCCCGATGCAGCGAGATCGCTACCTCTACAGACAGCAACTGAACTGACCCAAGAACATGCTGATGTACAGTTATGGTTAACAGAATCATGATCAGCTATCACGTGGTGAGCATTCTTAACGATAAACACTGGTTTCTTATTCAAAATGGACCAAAGTGAAATGCTTCCATTATCTGATCCGGCCAAAAACTCATCACTACTAACAAAACAGCAGCACTCAAGATTTGATTCAGAAGCTCGAAAGATCAAATGAGTAGACTCGGGAACCTGTTAAGAAACAAAAAAACATGACTTAGATACAGATAAATAGATCAATATGAAGGCTTCCACAATGCATATATACCTTGTATAACTGCAATGTTCTATCGCGTCCAACACTGAGAACGCGCTCCCTTCTTAGAGCATCAATGCTTAGAATTTCAGACTGGTGTCCAAAACTTGAGTCTATATATATTCTATCTTCTGCATTTCATATCCTTAATGTTCGATCATATGAACCAGAAAAGAGTTCTGCAGTTCCTTCTCTAAAGCATAGACTAGAAACAATGCCACGGTGACCTGTAAAGGCCTGCACTAGATACATATCTAAAGAGGCTAAGAGCAAGACACAATGAACAGAATCATGCATTAACTTGATTTTAAGTATGTTAATTACCTGGACATGCTCTCGTGTACGAATATCCCACAAATGAACATGGCAATCAACTCCTCCAGTCGCTAAATAACGGCCATCAGAGCTAACTGCTAGCGCTAGAGATTGTTTGTTATGTCTTGTATTCCAAGATTCCTGGAAGATTAATCCGTGAGACTTCAAAACTTCATCGCTTGGCCATTTGTACTCATCGCTTTTACCAGACGATACATCCCAATGCAGAATAGTACCGTCCTTCGAAACTGAGAACCCTCTTGAATCATCATCTGATAGAGCTACTGCTGTAACAGATTGTTGGTGTTTGACTATAATACGAAACTCATCGCTACTCCGTGGTTCTTGAACCCTGACACGGTAAATTTTAATCAGAGTATCAGTACAAACAATCTCCAAGCCGAAATCGATGTAAAGAAGTAAAACTCAACAGTTTATCTTCCCAATTTCCTTCATTAAAAATTAAAACTAAACCTCAATGTGTTTTAAGGATGTAAAATCAAGAAATTTCTTCCCAATGTATCCTAATTCCTAAAATTCCATAAAACCTAAATCACAAACATATGTGAAGTCTATGAATTCGTAGCTAAACCAATCTTGAGGAGTGGATTCAAATATGAAAACCTTCTGGACTCAAATATGAAAACCTCATGGACTCAAATATGAAAATAAATACATTCTTCTTCATTACCTCGATGCAATGGCTCTCCGAACACGACCACTCTTCTCGAGCTGCTCCTGCATTAGAGTCTTCACCACAAGCGAATCTCTAACACCATCATCTTCCTCGTCATCTTCTTCACGCTCTTTCCGCTTCGCCTCTTCGATTCTATCCGAAGTCTCTTCCAAAAATCTCTTTCGTTTCTCACCTACCGTCTCATAGGCAAACTTATCCTCTATCTCCTCACCAACCTTTCCTTCCTCTTCAGATTCGACAGACTCGATATCATCATCATTGTAATTGAATTTTCCCCGCTTCTTCGTCTCTTCCTCGAAGAAAGGATCACGATCGATGGAACTCTTTTTCCCGATTCTCTTCGCCCCGAAGCCTTTCTTCTTCTCGTTCTTGAATTTCATTCTTCTCTCCCTATCTATCTCACACAAGCGAGCAAGAAACAACGCAGGGTTTAACCTCGGTGTTTAGTGTCGATGGAGAAAAAGAACCAGAAAGTAGTTTCGATTTTTCTTTGTTCTGTCTGAAACGAGACCCACAAATTAACCTAACTTTCCCCTCAAGTTTCAAACAATACTGTACTAAGTTTACTTCGTGATGGGCCTGACGGCCCTGACTCTACACAAATTAGAGCATCTTCATCCATCATCAATGCTATATGGGTGTCTCAAAAATATTATTTTATAAGAAATAAATTATTTATTTAAATTATAAATTATAAAAAGAGAATTTGGCCAATAATATAAGGACAAGTGGAGACACAGTTTCTCAAAATTTCTCAAACCAGAAACTGTGTCTACCCTCTCTCCTACTTTTTTCTTATTTTTTATTTTTTTAATCTTGAAACATTCTTTAAAACACTACTGTTGAAGATGCTCTTAGCAGGTTTCGGTAGAATCCAATTTGGACAATTTTACTTTTTGAAGAAATGAAATAAATTGTTCATATTGGTTGCAGCCAAAAAAGAAAAGATGTATTGTTTGAAAAAAAAAGTTGATTTTTGGATTCAAGTACTTACTTTTTCACATTTATTTTACTTTTTCACAAAGTACAGCTTAAGAAGGTTTAAGCTATTAAGCACGAGTTAATACGAATAGGACGAATGTTTAAACCAGACCTTTAGTTATCAAGTAAACGTGAAGAAAATCTATTAACATATTAAAAATCTAAACAAACCAAAGACATTACAATTCTTGAGAGAACCCTGATTAACCAAACGAGCAATCTGACAACAAACAATCCCAAAGCCAAACACTTTCTGTTTTGTAAGCATAACATTCACTTTTAACATATATTAAAACCAACTAGTGATCTACAGTTGCAGAACCAGAATTGTCAGCAACAACACCACCTTCCTCAGCTTTCTGCAACGTCAGCTTCTCCTTCAACGTCGCCTTAGCTGTATCGTAAGTTGCGTGCAATCCAAACAAGACGTAATATACGAGAAGAATACCTGTCCAGATTGCAAACCTAACAAAAGATTTTTTATCGATGGAACCAAGTAGAAAGATGTTAATAGCAATCGAAGCAGAAGGCAACCACGGAACCAAAGGAACACCCCAAATTTTGGGAGCCCTAGCTTGCGGTACAAGAAACTTCATCCCAACTGTAGACAGAAACCATATAGGAACCGTAATGCAATACCCAATCCAACCCTCTTTTTCCAAAGCCCAATAAACACCAGTGGCCGTCGAGGACGCAAGAATCAAACCTAATAACACTAAAAACTTGTTACGGTCACGGGACGATGTTTCTCCCGTGACGTAATATCTTCTGACGAGAAGAGCCACAGCAACGAACATGAAGATGAAAAGTGTGGAAACAGACAAGAGATCGGCTAAAATTTTCAGTTTTGTGAAGAATGCTATGAGAGCTGTTGCAGCAAGCATTACCACGGTCGCGTTAATTGGTGTTCCGGTCTTTGCGTTGACTTGAGCTAGCCATGGAGGCATCATATGGGCCCTGGCTATGTGTGTCATGTACCTAGCTTGACCAATGGCTCCAACTAACAAAACCGTCGTCATACCTGAACATTTTCAAAGATTAGTTTGGCTTCGCATAAGAGGTGTTTTGACTTTTGAGACAGATATTATCAAGGCCAAAATTGTTGTCATACCTTTAAGAGCACCAAACGCGACAATGTATTTAGCCCAATCCCATCCAACCGCCGAAAACGCAACGGAGAATGGCGCGTCCGGATCAATCTGTTGATACGGTTGCATAAGACACAACGCAACCGCCATGAGACAATAACAAACTGTAGTAACCACCATCGATCCAACAAGACCAATCGGAATATCTCTCCCTGGATTCTTTGTCTCCTCAGCCATCGTTGAAACCGCATCAAATCCAATATAGGCAAAGAAAAGAACAGCTGCGGATTTAAACACTCCTCTAACGCCATAAGGAGTGAAATCGCTGTAGTTTTTCACATCGGCTTTAGTAAATCCGGCGATGATGACAAAGAGAATGACGACCATGTGGATTATAGAAGCAATGTAATTGAATCTTGAGGAGCCTTTCGTGCCAAGGACAGCTAAAACACAAATGATGGCGCAAACACCGACGGCGATTGGATCTAAGTGGCTATAGTCTTCGCCGAGACTGTGAGCTATGATGCGGAAGTCTTCAGGTTTGTGGTTTAAGAGAGTGGCGAAGTAAGAGGTCCATGATCGAGCCACGGCAGCTCCGCCAACAACGTATTCGAGGATTATGTTTCCGGCGGCTATGAAGGCCATGAAGTCGCCGAGCTCAACTCTTAAATAGGCAAAAGAACCACCTAAACATTCATGAGGTGTAAATGGTCATGAGGTAAATTAAATAGTAAATACGAAATAAATTACATAAGAATATTACAAAATAAATGTGGGCGAAGTAATGTATGCGTTTGAGTTTCCATTTACGTTAATATTTAAGTTTAGTGTACAACCCTAAAAAATTGAATTCACAAACTTGAGTAATTAAAACTTAAAAAAATAAAAATAAACTGTTGACTCTACTTTCTACTTGGGACCAAACCATAATCTCTAGTGGGATTTCTCTATCAAGTGTTTCGAATATGATACATTTTTTTTTGAAAAGTACTCCTTAATAAAAATACTTTTCAACTGTCAAGCAATTTACAAGCTTGACTTATTGTATAAAGTTTGAATGGTAATTTATTTTTAAAGTTGTACACTTTGTACCGTTTTGACAATCGATCACAAAATTATATTAAAAACATTATTAAAAACGTTATTCTCAATTTTTTTTGTACAACTCATTCATATAGTTTCGCATTATTCTTTAAAAACTTTACTGCAAGAACTTATATTTAAAAAATTTGTACAATTTATGTTATCAATTGGACGTACAGCAAACATTTATTTAGCTTAACTTCTTTGTTAAGCTGGAAAAGGTCTTCTAGGTAAACCCCATAAATCTAAAAACATGGCAAGAAATCTTTTGCAACTCTAATATAATATTCAAATCATTCGATTGTGCAATTTGTGATGTGATGGTCACTTGGTCAGTCAACAAGAACATAAAAGTGTTGGAGCTTCTATCAAATTAATATAATTAAAAAAAAAAAGATATACTGTGCGAGTGTGAACGACCCTCAGAAGTCAACTAGTTGACCCAAGAGATTCCGTCACGCTACGAGAGTTGAAAATTCAATATATTATATTATGGTCAAAATTCAATATAAAATTCAAGTAAGACAAATTCAAGAGTGTTTTTGTTCTATACTAATTTTGTAAGAATACTAGGATCATTGTAAAGTTTGAACCTAAATAATTACAAGACAGACAAATAACTATATTATTATGCGTTTAAAAGTAGTAAAAAGGCATACTATATGGTTGACTACATAAACAGTATATTTGATCGGTCATTATATAAGGTGGATTAAGCAACTGATTTTTGACTCCAAAAAAAAAAGCATGTTAAAACGTCTCTTTCTTTATAACAACCACTATGGACATCCTAGAACATGGGGAAAACTTAATTCACATCGAGCATAACTTGCCGGAAAAATGAACCAATATAAATGATAGAATCAAGTGAATTTAGCAATTTTTTATCGACGAAGTTGTCAGAATTGGTACGTCTGAATATTTATTAGCAGGATCTTTCGTAATTATACGCCACATTTTTCTATTTACTAATTATGACACTCCAAGTATAATAATATTGCTAGAAAAGATATCCTAAAATATGCGTTTTCGGTTAAATATATAAATCGTAGTTAAAAGAAAAATTAACAAGCTAAGATAGTGCTTAAAAGTATTTTCCCTATTATCTTCCCACTTACGAAAATAATCTTAAAACATGTTGTCTGAAAATTTTATAGAAATTCGCAAATTTATGACCGACGCTACAAAAACAATTTTTTTTTTGAAACGTCTGATTTTTTTTTTTTAATGTTCTATATCGTAATTACTTTTGAAACTTTCTATATTAAAATTATTAAAAATCAGAAACAGAGTCTTTAACAAAAAAAATAAAATCAGAAACAGAGTAAAATAAGATTTATTACCAGCGACGGGGATCTCAACGGCGAACTCGGTGTAACAAAAGACGGAGAGCATGGCGGAGACACCAGAGACGACGTAAGACAACACAACGGCGGGACCGGAAGCATTACGTGCTTCGAGTCCGGTGAGAACGAATATCCCGGAGCCGATGACTGCACCGATACCAAACCACATCAGATCCCACCACGTCAACGTTTTCTTCATCTCGTGACCACTACGAGCCTTCATCTCGTTAATCTCGTCGGAGTCTAGTGACCGAGTCATGATACGATCCATGAACCGACTCGGCGTTTCTTTAAGGGCTTTTAGGTAATTTCCCATGCTTTGGAACGATTCCTCCGGTAAGAAATCGTCTTTTGTGCATGAACAGCCTCGCCGACGAAGCCCGTCGTCACCACCACCGTGTTCCGCTGCCATATTTTTTGATCTAGATTCTGATTCAGATTCAGAATCTGAGATCCGTTTATTCTCTAGAGTGAATGGTAAGAAGAAACTGAAAAGGAAAAACTCTTTAATTTTTGTAAATAAATAACAGAAATTTTGGGTTCCTAATTCCTAAAGTCTGCCTTACTTATAGTAGCTATCCTTTGACATGTTTTTTTATTTATTTATTACTGTAAATTATTTATTATTAACAGTTTTGTGTAATTAGCTGGAAATGTGATACGGTTAATTAATTATGGAAACCTTAAATAGAATCCAAATCCATGAGCTTTTGTTGTATGGTCACTAGTTGGTAGCTGCATTCTTTGACCATTTTTTTCCTAAGAAAAACAGGGAAAATCGAATTATAAAGTGAATGTGAATAAAATCTGGTGTGCCAAAAAAAAAAAGAAAAGAAAAAAAGTTGCTAAGAGATCGTTTTTTTTTTTGCTAAGACTAAGACTAACAGATCATGTGTGATTCGAAATTTTCCTTCGGATCACAACATACTTTATGTGGATCAATTAAAATTATTTCCGATTTTAGTAAAATGTTCAATCTTGTTTCACAAAATTACGATCTATATGTTTAGTTCAAGATATATGAAATTGATTGGTTTTAATTTAATCTCGACTTAGTTGATAATTAGGTTCATAATTCATACCAACCATTTACCGCAATTGCTCCTCCTAATTTCACAAGCGCGTCAAAAGAATGATTTAGCCCCCCCTACTTTTTAAGTTTTTTTTTTTTTAAATGTTACTTCCTCCATTTTTGTATTAAACATGTCCAAGAACTTCATACTTTTTTTTTAAAATTTCTTTTGTGCCTCCAATAAACCAAAACAAAAAAAAAAAGATCATGCATCATGTCTGTTATGTGAATTTAAAGAGCGTTATTATAACGGAAACTAGATTTGGGAGCTGGAATCAAAGATGAATGTGTAACTTGTAATTGCCAAAATTTACATAAGCAACCCATAAATTAATGTGAGAATCCTAGCATTAAATCAAGATATTATATTTGAGCATAACTTTTAAGTAATAAAGAAATTCAATCTTAGTTTTCCTAATAGCAAAAACGAAGAACAAGTTTGAAATATGAAGTAATTTTTTGTTGGTGGGTTAAAAACATCAAGAAAATCTCCGTATTATACAAAACGACAAATAATGCAAAAAAAAAAAAACTAGATACTGAAAGATAGAGAAAAGAGAAGAAAGTCCATCGAATTTTGAGTTTGTTTAGGTCGTATACAAAATTTTATACAATGAATCAATAATTTATTTTTTTTTGAAATATATACACAGTCTAAATAGTATGTCAAATAGATAGCTTAACTGAATAATTGTTAGCAAAAAAAAATATTGAACTAGATAAAACTTTCATAAAACAACTGTAAAACGCTGAAAAACTAGTTTTAATAGATTAATCATGTTTTGCTTCTTTTTTGTACGTATATTTTAAAAACATAAAAACAAAATAAATACTTGAAATGATAAAAGATAGCAGAATCACAATTGGTATACCATTCATCTCCATAAAAAAGTTTAATGGGCATTTCTTATTTTTTGGACCTTGTTGGACTTCTTGTTTAAAAACATACGTCATACCACGTAAAGATAAGATAAAAAAAAAAAAAAAATACTAATCCTTATGACCACGACGAATCTTGATCCACATGGAAATATTATCTCAGGTCAACTGCAGTCAGTAGTGAACCAGTAGAATATTGAAATCAAACCAGTTTACTTGGATCAAAGCAATCAAGATTCGTCTAGATACATACAAGAATTAATAATTATTTGTGGAGTGCCAAATTATCATCATTCATTCAGCCATAGTAGTGCCATACCTTGTTTCATACAAAGTATCACTCACCGGTTGACAAATCTCACAAATTTAGAGAAACTGACACTTTGGACTGATTACAAATTCTAAACCCAACTCGAGTGGTAAAACATTCTTTTCATTCAGCTAAATACCAAACAGCGAACGTCCTACTATTTGATAAGTAGAGAGGTTTTGCAAGGTTTTTTTTTTTAGTTAGGGTTTTAGCCTTTTAGAATACATAATCCAGATTTAACAAGTGACAAGATTGTAACAAACAGTCAGGCATTGCGAATAAAGCTGTGTGGAATTTAATCGCCACTAGCGCATCCTTGACACCCGCAGTGAACGCATTCGACCACTTTCTCTTCACGCAAGTGTTTGGGAACACGACATACACATGTTGTTCCATAGTTGTGGTCTCTAGGCTGTATGCAGCGCAAGCAGCATAAACGTTCATATCCCGACTGCAAATCACAAACCAGAGAGTTTGCATAGAGTTAGTATCAAAGTAATGAGACATGTATAAATGACAAAAATCTTTGTTATTATGAAAGAAAACAAAAGTGAAATCTAGATAAATGTCTGAATAGTAGAACCTAGAATGAGATGATACAACTGAACTGACAGGGAAGAGTTTATTAATAAACGGTTCATGAGAGACAATCATTGAGATGTCAGGGTATTGTTAGAACTATCCAAAATTTGGTGAATCGTAGAGGCAATCACTCTTACTAATCCAAACAAATATAGGGACATATCTTAAGCTCTTTGTCCAAAGTATAATTACCAGAAATTTTGTTTCTTCGCCAAACAAAACAACAATACAGATTCTACAACATATTTGTTAGTGAGATCATTCCAAGCAAGTGCATATATACTAAGGACATAGATTTCAGAGAAACAGCTACAAGGCTCATTGTGCAGTACTAGTCCCTATAAACTAATTCAACAATACTTTACATACCCTCAATTCAATGTCCTATGCAAAGCAACTATAGAAACTCTAAATCGCATCAATTTGGCCTTACGCAGCAAGCAAACTAAAAGTCTAAAAGTGGTGCACAAACAAAAGTTTATTCAATCAAAACGCACCTTTTTCCATTTGGCAATCAGACTGCGATCTGCATAGCCCTGGTCCAAGCAGAACTCATAGAGCTCTTTAGATATTTCTTCCCGTCGGTAATAAAGATCATATACATAACGACTCCTCTGATGAGAAACTTTGAAGATTGGCCATAAAGTTTCACACTTTCTCTTGCCATCATGTGAATCTGTCTCAGCTGCACAATGAACAAAATAGTTAAGATCACAAGCAAAGGAAAAAAGAAAAAAAAAAAAAACAAATAGCAACTGAGATTGAGATATATCAAAACTTAACCTTCTCTCATCTTGGCGTCCAGCTCTCGAAGAGTAGGCTCAATCAACTCCCATCCTTCTGGGTACTTGACTCGGTTAGTTTTAACCTTTGGCATTTTCTACATAACACAAATTCACAACGTTAAACAAAGGAATAAATTAAGCTAAGTAGGTATTCAAACAAAAAGAAAACATCTTTGAATCTAAGACTTTCTAGTTTCCAAAGAAATTCTCAATTAAGCAATTGAAACTACAAGCAAGGGCGAAATTAGGGTTTCTGCGTCAAGGCTATATTCAACACAACGCAGTGGGTCGATCCCGATTTAAATCCAGAATACTCTAGGTGAAGTTTCAGAAATAGAAGGGGAACAATTAGGGTTTATCGATCTCTGTGATTTGGGATCGATACAAACCTCAGAAAAAAGGAAGAAAATTTAGGGTTTAGAAACGAAACGACTGCAGAGAGTTTAGCAAGATTTGTATACGAGAGAAATCGAAGAAAGCTTACCTTTGGACAGGACGAGGGAAGTTGGACAAGGAGAGATCGCGGCGCAGGACAAGGAAGAAGAACCAACGTCGTAGAAGCCTCTCTTTAGGGTTGTGTTCGGAAATCGGTATTAACGAGTGGTTTATCTTGGGCCGGTCTTTGGAATCAAATACACTATTTTTACTGTTTATCTCTTATTTGGATATAAGACATTTCAAAAAGGTTATACAAAGATTTCTGCAAATCAAAAATTTAGGAAAACTTTATTCAAATGACAAAGCTTTTCCTCTTTTTAGTGTTCAATTTTTATGAATCCGGCAGTGTTATTTGTATTTCCATTTGACTTCTTACTTTGTTTATTATGGTAAGAAGTAAGAACAACAACACGCCACATACACTGCGATTGAATAGAAGAAGACAGATGCTTACAAAGTTTAGTAGAATGAGGAAGAAACAAAACCCATAGGATTCAACTTAAATGAAAATCCCCAAAATATTGGAACTTTTATAACATCAAACATTTTCAGCTTTTGACATTGCCTGCAACTAAGCAAATTATTTGGCAAAACGCAATAAACAGCTTCAAGAAAAAGACCAGTGCAACCTTAGTCTGCTACTGCATATGGCAGTCACTGATACGTTGAGAAACCAAAAGCATATAGTAAAAAAGGAAAACAAAGAAGCTGCTTATTCCTTTTTGCCGATTCCATTAGACATGTTGTAGATTCCTGTTCCCTGTATTCAACCAAAACGATTCTTCCATAGTTAGATGATGAACAAGGTTAAAGAAAGCTGAAGCAATATCGACAACATCTATTTTTTTAAAACATTACAAGAGCATTCATTCAGGTTTTAGCGAAAAACAATCGATCGTAAGTAACAAGTTCCAAAGCGCCATTGTGAACACTTTCAACAAATTAGTCAAATAAGGAAGAACACATACAAAGACAAATCAGATGGCGAGAATGAATGCATACGTAGTTTTGAAAACCAGCAAAGAAATGAACTTACAATCATGTAGAGAGAACTTGCAGCCAAGGCAATCGGAATAGCAACGGAAGTGATCTTGTCCATTGGTCCTTTCAAGTAAGTGTGCCTCTGGATGCTCTGGAACAATCTCTGCTTCTCCAGAAGCTTCTCTCGTGGCCTAAATGGAGTTTCAGTCACCATGATCTGCAATTCCATAGCCACGCAAAAACCATTATCGTTCAAGTCATTTATAAACAATAACATACTGATAAAACAAACAATTTGATAAAGTATAAAGTAGTATTCAAATCAAGACACTAAATTGATAACGAGTATACATTCAAATTGTTCTTGTGAGTATTCAAATCAAGACACTAAATTGATAACGAGTATACATTCAAATTGTTCTTGTGACATCATTTTGATCAAAAATGTTGCAATGATAAAGCCTCAAAATCAGGGCTGGATCTGAGTGTATGCAAACTTGTGAAACTACAATTTCTACATCGCAGAGAGCAAATCAACGCAATTAAACAAATTTACGGTGAAAACCCGATTAAATTAGGTCAAATTTCAACAATCTAACGGGACCAAAATTAGGTTTATCATTTTCTGAAATTTGAGATCGACACAAACCTTAGAAAATGGAGAAAATCAACGATTACAAACGAAACAACCCGATTGATTGCGAAATCAAAATCGATTTAAGAGGAAAATCTCAGAAGCTTACCTCAGAGAAATTAATCGGAGGAGATGAGGAATTTCGAGAGAGAGAGAGAATCGCAGCGTAGATCGATGACGAAGAACAACAACAAATGGCGATGAACCAGTCTTTAGGGTTGGGTTTATCAAATGTTTTAAAATTGGGCCAGGCCCAAATTGATTAGATAATCAACCTTTTAATTTCAGTTATATACCAAACCGGACCGTACCCTCAATTCTAATTTCAATTTTGTGATCTGAACCGGCCGTTCTTCTTAACCTCTTGCGTTCTTCGCCTCCTCTCTCTCTAACTTTGCATCGTCTCTCTCTCTTTTTCTCTTACCTTTTTTCGTTTAAATCTCAAAGAGAACCCAGAAGCTTCTTATAAAAGAGGCGGGAAATTTCTCACGCGTGTTGCATAGAAAATCGAAAACCCTAGTTTTTCTGGGCCAAGAAGAAAATGAGCGTATGGAACTACGCCGTTACGGCTCAAAAACCGACCTGTGTCACTCACTCTTGCGTCGGAAACTTCACCAGTCCTCAAGAACTCAATCTCATTGTTGCGTATGGAACTACTCCCTCTTCTTTTTCTTTTCTTTCTTCCCTTTGTTGTCTATCTTTTGTGTGTAGATGTTAATTTGGGGTTTAGGGTTTTTAGGGAAGCTAGTTTTCTCATCGGTTGGTTTATAATAGTTTACTCTCATTGCATCTGCTTTTGAGAGCTGAGTTTTGGGTTTGTATGATTTCTCTGGGATTCTCTGATCTGGTGGATGGTTGTTTATAAGGGAAATGTACACAATCGATTTACCAGTTGATCTATCAGTGACTGCTCTGGATTTGATTTCATGTTAAAGAAGGCACGCTATTGCTTTTGATGACATAAAGTTCCTTCATTCAGTGGAATTTAAGTTTTGTTTGCATACAGTTCTGTGGTTTCTCGTTTTCTGTTTACCATCTAGTTATGTGGTTCATTTGCTGTTAGTTGACAACAATGTTGAACCCTTTTCAGGAAATCCACTCGAATCGAGATCCATCTGCTTTCTCCACAGGGACTTCAGGTACTTTATAATCTCTTAATCTAATGATCTGTATTGTTTTTTTCTCAGTGCTGTTAAAGATAAGTTCGTTTTAACTTTTAATATATTCAGTTCCTTGGATTCAGAGTGAAAATGTGAAAAGTTATTGTTACTTTTAGTCTTATTTGGGAAAAATAGAACTCCCCATATGGATTGGATATGTTGAGTGATTTAGACTTTTGTAGACTATACTGGATGTTCCTCTATATGGGAGGATCGCCACTTTGGAATTGTTCCGTCCCCATGTGAGTATATTTCTCTTATTACAACTTTTCTCAGTCTGAGGGAATAGGTAAGTGACAATGTTAATTGATAGTACTTCATCTTTTGCAGGGTGAAGCACAAGATTTTTTGTTTGTTGCAACTGAGAGATATAAATTCTGCGTTCTTCAATGGGATTATGAGTCCTCTGAGCTTATAACAAGGTATAGTTTGCCAAAAAATATCAACATTTCATGCTATCAGATGACGTAAAGCAATCGGATGTGTTATACATATTTTGATTATGCTCCTGAATGTTAGTTACTCGAATTTAGTGTTAGAAAGGGATCACATTTTAGTAACTATGTGCATTGTAGTGCATGGGATCAGGTTGTGTCTTTTAGATAAAAGTCCATCACGTGTCTTATCTGTTCAGAATGTGTTCTAGGATCCCAGTTACATTGGGGTCATATTTGTATCTGTACTTTGTTGTATATCCAAATCCTGCAAAAAACTTCTCTGGTGCAAACATAGTTGTTGCTTACTGTTACTATACCAACTGACTATCCTTTCCTTTACCGTTAATTCTAAATATCTTTTGAACATTTTGTAGGGCAATGGGGGATGTTTCTGATCGTATAGGCCGACCGACGGACAATGGTCAGGTATTGAGTTCAGTATTACTGCACTGTATCTTTCATAGTGGCTAGATTTTGATTTTCCTTCTTTAGTTGTATATGTGCTATAATTTAACGGTTATGTGGCACGTTTGAGCTGAGTCTTCACTTGACACTGATTTTGCAGATTGGTATAATTGATCCTGATTGCAGATTAATTGGTCTGCATCTGTATGACGGCTTGTTTAAGGTATGGTATGCTAGTTTGCTGTTTATATCATATTACTGAACTTCCATTGACACTATATAAGGTTTGTTCTATTCTTGGGTTCCTCGGTTAGGTCATTCCATTTGACAATAAAGGCCAGCTCAAGGAAGCTTTTAACATAAGGTACTGTTTTTTCAGTTAAAATGCTGCAATTTTTTGACTATCAAGCTTATGTTTTGCTCTGTTTGTTTTTTGCTGGTTAATCGTCCACATTGTGTGTGCTCTAGTGCACCCATGTTTCCATGCATCAGCTTCTGTCCTAAACCCTCAATTGACTCAGTCAACACTCTTGGTTTCTAGCAGATGTGGTTATTTTGAGGAAAACAACACTGAATCTAAGATTGACTATGTTGCTTAATTTCAGGCTCGAGGAGTTGCAGGTCCTAGATATCAAGTTTCTGTATGGATGCACAAAGCCAACAATTGCAGTACTTTATCAGGTTAGCATACATATTTAAATGGATATGCTATGGAAACTGTTTGTTAATCATATATATTTATTTCTTTCATGTACGAACCTAGTTCTGTAAGCAATATTGATCAAAGGAATCTGCTTTCTTTTTTAATACCCGCTCTGTTGGTAAGCTGGCAGAAATTGAGCAAATTAGCTCTGCTGTATTTTTAAAATAAACTGTATCTTGGTTTACTTTACCAATGCAATGTGATGCACTCGAGGTTGTTTGCTGGGTGAACTAATTAATGTTTGGGGTTACAGGACAACAAAGATGCTCGTCATGTCAAAACATATGAAGTTTCTCTAAAGGAGAAGGACTTTGTCGAAGGTCCATGGTCACAGAACAATCTCGACAATGGTGCTGACTTATTGATCCCTGTACCTTCACCTCTCTGTGGCGTCCTCATCATTGGAGAAGAAACAATTGTCTATTGTAGTGCCAATGCATTCAAAGCGATACCAATAAGACCTGTAAGTTTTTTTTTTTATGTTACGTCATTGTCATCTGGTCCTATAAACATTTGCATAACTTTTCAGTGAGTACCCGTTTTAATTTTCAATTTTGGCATGTGACTTCAATTTGTATGTCCAGTCCATCACAAAAGCATATGGAAGAGTTGATCTTGATGGTTCTAGGTATCTTCTTGGTGACCATTCCGGACTGATTCACCTGCTTGTTATAACCCATGAGAAAGAAAAGTGAGTTGATATTACAAAGCTCTTTTTTTTTTTTTTGCATCTACAAAGCTCTTTTGAAATGAATGATAATGTGGATATTCTGGCTTTATTTATCTGAAGGGTCACTGGCCTCAAAATTGAGCTTTTGGGTGAAACCTCTATTGCATCTTCCATCTCGTATCTTGACAATGCTGTCGTCTTTGTCGGTTCAAGCTATGGAGATTCACAGGTACGCTAGGATTGAATATGTTTCTCATTACGTCTTTGAAACATATTTTTCTTGAAGAGTGTAAACTTATATAGTTCTATGGTTACCATTATCCTAGTTAATTGTGTTACAATTGTTATTTTTCTTTGAGTTCTAATAAATACAAGCTTTGAAGCAGCTGAACGTTTTCATTTTCTATTTTCTCATTGCAGCTTATTAAGCTAAACTTGCAACCGGATGCAACAGGGTCATACGTAGAAATTTTAGAAAAGTATGTCAACCTGGGGCCTATTGTCGACTTTTGTGTAGTTGACCTTGAGAGACAGGGGCAAGGTCAGGTTGTAACTTGCTCTGGAGCATACAAGGATGGTTCTCTTCGCATAGTTCGCAATGGGATAGGAATAAATGAACAGGTTTGATATATATTAGGATTTTCATTTTGTCTCAATGTCATGAAAGCAATATTCTCATCTGATGTAATCTAATAAAACTCTGCTGTATTGCAGGCGTCCGTGGAACTTCAAGGCATCAAAGGAATGTGGTCGTTGAAATCGTCAATTGATGAAGCCTTTGATACATTCCTTGTAGTTAGTTTTATCAGTGAAACTCGTATACTAGCCATGAATATAGAGGATGAACTGGAAGAAACGGAGATTGAGGGTTTCTTGTCTCAAGTGCAGACTTTATTTTGCCATGATGCTGTCTACAACCAACTTGTACAGGTATGTTTTGCCAGTGCTCATTCATTAGTTTCGATGCCTTTGCTTGTAGCTTGATTTCACCAGGCAGGGAAAATTTCGTCGAATTATAGATGATAACTCTGTGTTCTCTGGATTTCCCTGCACTATAGTGTTTTATTGACTTAGGATTCATCAGGTTATGTTTTAGGTCTTCCAAAGCGAATCAAATGTAGGAGTGCTTGTGTATTTCATCGGTGTTGTTTTTCTTCAGACATCGTTTCCTGTCTGATATATTGTTCTATCCTATCTTTTCCCCTAGAATGCACTAATTACTATCTTTCCTTAATCAGGTTACCTCAAATTCTGTTAGATTAGTTAGTTCTACAACTAGAGAATTGAGGAATAAATGGGATGCCCCAGCTGGATTCGCTGTTAATGTTGCAACTGCAAATGCGAGCCAGGTTTGCCTTTCTTTCTTTTTTTCTAGCTGCTATATTTAAATTTTGGCCCAGAAAAGAAGAATTCTAGAAGTTTTTTATGAAAGGGATATTGTTTTCTTTCTCAAACTTGTACCTTCAGTACCTTTCTCGATTCTAGACATGCAATGTGATTTGGAATGATATACTTGTTAGGTTCTTTTGGCCACTGGAGGTGGGCATTTGGTCTATCTTGAAATTGGGGATGGGACATTGACGGAAGTCAAACATGTCCTGTTGGAGTACGAGGTTTCCTGTCTTGACATCAATCCCATTGGCGATAATCCTAATTACAGTCAGCTAGCTGCAGTCGGGTTGTGGACTGATATAAGTGTGAGGATTTTTGTGCTGCCGGACTTGACTCTTATTACTAAGGAGCAACTAGGAGGAGAGATAATTCCCCGATCTGTTCTTCTTTGTGCATTTGAAGGGGTATGATTTTCTTCAAATTTTTGTGGAATGGCCATCTTGCTTGTTAATGTAGCCTTTGGTTGCCATCCTAATAACAGTGGTATTACATTTGTCACAGATATCTTACTTGCTCTGTGCTCTTGGAGATGGTCATCTCTTAAACTTCCAGTTGGATACAAGTAGTGGGAAATTAAGAGACCGGAAAAAAGTATCACTAGGGACTCAGCCTATAACTCTGCGTACTTTTTCATCTAAAAGTGCAACTCATGTCTTTGCTGCATCAGATAGACCAGCTGTTATATATAGCAACAACAAGAAGCTGTTATACAGCAACGTGAATCTGAAAGAAGTTAGTCATATGTGTCCCTTCAACTCTGCTGCTTTTCCAGACAGGTAAACTAATTTCTTCCTTCTGTTATTTTCCTTTGGGATCGAAGTACATTGTGGTGAAATCTGGCTCTGCTTCTCTTCCATGGGCAGTCTAGCAATTGCAAGGGAAGGCGAACTTACAATTGGCACCATCGATGACATTCAGAAGCTTCACATACGTACCATTCCTATTGGAGAGCATGCTCGTCGCATATGCCATCAGGAACAAACACGGACATTTGCTATCTGCTGTTTGAGAAACCAACCAAGTGCAGAAGAATCTGAAATGCATTTTGTCCGTCTGCTGGATGCCCAAAGTTTCGAGTTCTTGTCAACTTACCCTTTGGATGCCTTTGAATACGGTTGCTCCATATTGAGCTGCTCGTTTACAGACGACAAAAATGTCTATTATTGTGTTGGTACGGCATATGTTTTGCCCGAGGAAAATGAACCCACTAAGGTATCATTTCAGTGAGAAACACTACTCTTTATTTTGTTAGTGTGAAAATTTATCTTTTCATATTTATATTGTTTTGTGGATGTAGGGAAGGATACTGGTGTTTATAGTTGAAGAAGGGAGATTGCAGCTTATTACAGAGAAGGAAACCAAGGGAGCTGTTTATTCTCTCAATGCCTTCAATGGCAAACTTCTTGCTGCTATTAATCAAAAAATTCAGTTGTATAAGTGGATGCTACGGGATGATGGCACTCGCGAGCTGCAGTCTGAATGTGGACATCACGGTCACATACTAGCTCTTTACGTGCAGACCCGTGGAGACTTCATTGTCGTTGGTGACCTCATGAAATCAATCTCTTTATTGATCTACAAGGTAAAACGTCTTGATACAAAATTGTTTTTCCATCTTCGTATGAATACATGTCAAATCTTACATTATGTTCACAAGAACTCACCGGACTCTTTTGATTATCTGTGTTTCTTTTAAAGCACGAGGAAGGTGCGATCGAGGAGAGAGCACGGGACTATAATGCAAACTGGATGGCGGCAGTTGAGATACTCGATGATGACATCTACCTTGGTGCTGATAATTGCTTCAACCTATTCACAGTAAAGAAGAACAATGAAGGTGCTACAGATGAAGAACGGGCTCGTATGGAGGTTGTTGGTGAGTATCACATAGGGGAATTTGTGAACCGATTCCGCCATGGCTCTCTTGTTATGAGGCTTCCTGATTCAGAGATTGGTCAGATACCGACCGTCATATTTGGCACTGTCAGTGGGATGATTGGAGTGATAGCTTCTCTGCCCCAAGAACAGTATGCGTTTCTAGAGAAACTGCAGACGAGTCTGAGGAAAGTGATTAAAGGAGTTGGTGGTCTAAGCCACGAGCAATGGAGATCATTCAATAACGAAAAAAGAACTGCGGAAGCGAAGAGTTACTTGGATGGAGATCTAATTGAATCGTTTTTGGATTTAAGCAGGGGTAAGATGGAGGAGATCTCCAAAGGTATGGATGTTCAAGTGGAAGAGTTGTGCAAGAGAGTTGAAGAACTCACTAGGCTTCACTGAGCAATCCAAAGCTCTCTCTCTCTCTACCTCTTTCTCTTTGGTTTGTTTCTCGACAATCCTTTTAGTTTTGAAGAGTTGTTGTCTCTGTGAAAACTTGAGTGGTTTCAGGGAAGTGAAAATGTCTTTTTAAATTGCGTATTTTACTGATAAACAAATTGTATAATTTATGCGATTTTGAGAACTTTTATCAATAAGAATTTCTTTGTGATCAAAAAGTTTTGCTAAAGTAATATATCTCCTTACAAAACACAAATGTACATGGGAATCGGTTTAGATTGGTCTGATCCGGTTCGTTACGGTTGTGAGAAATTTGTCGGAACGTCAAAGAATAGTAAACCAAAAGGGTTTAGAATTCTTCTGGTGGAGGAGAGAAAGAAATCAGCTGAGATTCTGCGACGGAGGAGGTTTTGTCTTTCTTCTCCACGTACGAACCCTAAATCCTCATTTACTCCATCTTCAAGCTCTGCTTTCGTCGAATCTTTCAAAAAGTAATAACCTTTCTCTTCTCTGAGTTCTTTTTGATTCATCGATTCTTCGTTATTTTACTGTAGAAAATGTTTCTGTTTCCAGATTTTTAGATTCTTGGCTTTTTGTTGCACTCATTTAGGTTTTTATTCTTGAATTGCTTCAAGGTTTATAGCTTATACCTTTGGGCGGCGCCAAAATCATGGTCTTCCATAGGCTATCAAGATTAGGTTCTCGCATTGTTAGAGAGCTCCCAAGAGGTATATTTATTTCAATCTTTTTGCAAATGTTTGATTGAATTTGTTGTTTGCTTTTAGTGGTGGAAGCAGAGCTTATGTATTGACTGTGTGATTTAAGTACTCTACATTTATGTTTTGGGCAGAGAGGCCAGTGTTTGGAATGAGGATTCTACATAGGTCTTATGGCCAATATCTTCAATCTTCGGTTAGTCTGAGCTCTCTGAATCTCAGTTACGAAAATTTATTGCATTGGTTTTATTTCTCGGTTGCATTTTTATATGAATCTTATTTAGTTCATTCATTAGACATGGCACTTCCCATTTGCGATCAAGCTTTAAGATATGAGTTCCTAACTCTTAGTTTCTCGGCTCGGACTGAATTGTAGATTAGGTAAAGGCTTGTTCATACTGCGTTTGGTTTTGTTAGGAATCTGAAGAGCTTGTAGATATTATACAATATTCTTGTCAGTATCATGAATTGGTTTAGCTATCTATAGATATGTGATGCTTAATGATAAAATAAGTTCAGCAACCAATAGAGAGAATTATAGGGTTTGGCTTTGGCTCAAAGAGCTAGCAAATGCCTGAGTGTGTTGTTAGAAGTGAATTAGCTATGAAGCTTGGGTTTTTGGTGACTCGCGGTCTTCTCTTACGTATTCGATCTTAGTTTAATATCTTTACTGTTTTCATCTCGACAGCCAATGCTACAAAGGCAAACTAGGAGTTTAAAGGAAGCATTATTCTCGAATAATCGTAAGTTTTGTACATCTTTCAGCACTACCTCTGAGAAAGGTGGGGAAGAAACAGAAAAGTAAGTTCAAATTTATCTCAAAAAACATTCAACTCTTGACAACAACAAATGTTGACATGATAATTCAGACACTAGTATTCTCGCCTGAATGTAAGATTAACATGCATTTCATATTCTTTTTCAGGATAAACGTTATCTTTGTTGATAAAGATGGAGAGGAAATTCATATTAAGGTTCCAATAGGAATGAACATCCTTGAAGCTGCTCATGAAAATGATATAGAACTCGAAGGTATTATTTTCCTCCATTTCTTCCTTCTCTTTGTCCAATGATGCTTTTTCGCTTAACCCAAGATAGTAACTAATGTCTCAGATTGATCCTTTCATTGGAAATTTATGGGTTGCTTCTTCTTTATTAATCTTCAGGGGCGTGTGAAGGATCTCTAGCGTGTTCAACGTGCCATGTGATTGTTATGGTAAAACTTACTTGTCCTTACAATCACTCATCTGCATAGATTATCATGAATCGTGTTGTACCAAATAGTTGAAACTGTAATTGTAATAGGACACTGAATACTACAACAAACTCGAAGAACCAACAGATGAAGAGAATGATATGCTAGATCTTGCTTTCGGGTTAACAGCAACGTGAGTTCTCTATCCTTTGCTTTAAATGGTTTCAGTTGGGTTTCATGAAAAATGTTGACATGTTCCATTGAAAATGTTTATAGGTCACGATTGGGATGTCAAGTGATCGCAAAACCAGAGCTAGATGGAGTACGCTTAGCCATTCCTTCAGCTACTAGAAATTTTGCGGTTGATGGGTTTGTTCCAAAACCTCACTAGCCACTTAAAAGTCTCAGAGCAGAGGATTTTTCGAGTTTACACTTGTTACTATTCGACAAAACTAGTGACATAAAATTACCCTTAGGGAGAGTTATACAAATGTAATTCAGACGGTGAGATTTCAACTCAGCTTGTTTTTGCAGCATTGTTTTATTGTGTGTCTTGAGTTTAATTTAGATTTCATGACAAAGCTAAAGATATAGATGAAATTGTGATAGGTTTTACTTTTACTACAAATAAAGTGTGTGTATAAATAAAACGATGTTATATATATCAATATAGTAATATCCTAGATAGTTAAAAGACTTGCCTGTCTTGGTTCTGGTCTGAAATTTGAAATCGCTTTGGTCGTGTGATCGTTCAACTTCAATAGTCGCTTACCTCTAGTAAGTAGTAACAATGTAACATAGCTAACGAACGTTACCAAGTAGAAAAGGCCCAGAAGACAATTAATCATATCCGTTGAATTAGTTGGGCCACTGTAGGGCCGTTGAGTTACCTCTAAAGCCGGTCCATGAGATCAACTTAACTTTTTTTTTTTTTTTTTCTTTTCTGTTTTTTTTTTTTTTTTTTTTTTTTGACAAAAAAACAACTTAACTAAAACTGATTTTGTATTGGTTGTCTAAAGTAGCTACTAGCTACAAGTGGTGCAAAGACAAAATGTTGCTAGCATTTTCTATCTATCTATTTAATTTAACCTCCCCTATTCTCACCAGTTGTATCCAATTTAAAATGTTGAAAATCTATAGAAGATTTAAGTTTTATGACAAATTTTTCCGATGCGCCAATAAAGACGCGAGTGAACTTCACGCGCTGGACACACATTATATTTTCTTTTCTCAATAAATCATTATTAAATTAAATCCCTACAAAGGTTAATTAATTAGGTGTTTTGTCGGTTTCGAAAATTAGGTTATTTTCAATAAAAACATATGTGTTATGGTCAGATTTACTATTATCTTGATATTGTGTATTGCTAACTACTAAAATCTTTTTGTTCCTAACTTCCTATCATAGGGAGTTATTCTATATATGAGCAAATTCAATAATATGTCTCTATGAAAAACTTATCTCACGCGTCATAAGATAGAGCGTGAGCACACGCGCTCACATATAATCTATCTATCATAGTAAATTTATGCAATCTATGTTTGTTTACCTTAAATTGTCATTAAACTCTCAATATCCTTAGATCTTTTTCTGTTTATATGACTTACCCATTTAATTACATTTCTTGATTCACCTTCTCATATACAAACAAGAGTTAAAAATAAGAAAGCCTTAGGTTTTGACTAAGCTTAGCCAAAATGATTATGGTGTGTAATAGATCTTTAGATTTTATTAATAAACACTCTTTGACACGTTTTGCTCATAATCTCACTATCTTAAACCCAAAACATACTCCTCTTAGATTTTCACTCCCCAAAAACCTATATAAGAAGACACTCTCCACAACATAAAAGATCATAGTAACAAGAAGATCTTATAACAAGGCTTCCCTTTCAAAGAGAAAATCAACACCTTCTTGAGCGAAATGGATGACTTGAATGTTTTTGCGAATGAAGACAATCAAGTGAATGGTGTGAAGCCCACACCTCCACCGCGAGTATGTGCAAGGTGTGATTCTGATAACACCAAGTTTTGTTATTACAACAACTACAGTTTGCTTCAACCGCGCTACTTCTGCAAGAACTGTCGTAGATACTGGACTCATGGTGGGACTTTAAGGAACGTACCAATTGGTGGAAGCTCTCGTGCCAAGCAGGCAAGGGTAAATCAACCTTCGGTTGCTCGGATGGTTCCTGTTGAGATCCAACCAGTTAACCATCAACCTTTCTTGAATGTCCAAGAAAACATTAATTTTGTTGGACCTTTTGGTGCTTCATCTTCATCTTCTGATGCTGCTGTTGGGAACCATTTCGGTTCTTTGTCTGATATTCATGGTGGTATGGTAACAAATGTGCATCCAACTCGAACTTTCCGACCAAATCATCGCTTAGCTTTCCCTGATGGATCATTTGAGCAAGATTATTACGACGTCGGATCCGATAATCTTATGGTCAACCAACAAGTTGGTGGATATGTTGATAATCACAACGGTTATTACATGAATCAAGTGGAGCAACACCAGTGGAACCAGAGCTTCAACAACACTATGAACATGAATCACAATAACGCCAGCACTAGTGGAAGTAGCATAGGATCTGACATGAACGTGAACAACGATAACAACAAGTACAGATACCTCAACTCTGTGATTATGCATCCTTATCATTTGGAGAAGGATGGTCCTTGAATCTTAACCATATTACCTGTTTTTCTTTTTCTAATAAAATAAGTCAATGTCTCAGTTTCATTTGGAGTCTCAGTTTCTCTTTTATGTTTTCTATTTATTTCAAGTTATTAAAGTTTGTGTCGTTGTGGTTCGTCTAATCTATTGTAAAATAATATATTTATCTAGTAATCACCATTTCTTTGTTTTGCAATTTGCTTCTTTCTTGATCATGAACCAATATCGTATGCCAATATAAACTTTGATATCTTTGTGTATGTTTCACATACATAATTTTTTTTATATATGCACATATATATTTATCATTATTACAATACTAAATATTTAAAAAGAGAAATATAATATTTGTTTAAATTTTTAAAAATAATTTATTATTTAATATTTGAAAGTATCAGAATTACATATTACTATGATACATGAAAATGAATTCCTAAAATGTCAATCCAATAGTAGTTAACTAATAAATTAGATAGATAAATCCAAATAAAATGAGTTGTCATATCTGTTATGACCAAACCAAAATTATGTAAAACTTTGAAATTAATTGAAATATAATATTTATAGTCTTAATTAGATAATTTTGTAATTTTTTGTTGACTCTTTTGTCAACAATTAAATGAATTTCTATATTAAAAAAAATAGTTGATTTCTTTTTTTGACCACAAATTAATTGATTTTTGAGAAAAAAATTGACTGGATTAATATATATATATTAGTATATATGGTAAGAACTATAAAAATAATAATATAAATAGTTACAAGTTGAAGTTGTTAGCAAGAAAAACATTGTTATCTCAGATTTTCTTCTAGAGCCAAAATGGCCACTTTCTTAATGTTTAATTTTTTCATCTTATCTAAGTAATTTGTTGAATTATTGCAGTTTGAGATATAGCTGTTGAAGTAGCAGAATTTGGTGTGGTCTAGAGTTACGTCGAAACCACAAGTGTGTCCAATGTGTAACTCAGACAGCATCAAATTCTGTTAATTCAAAAGCTATAAACTAATTGTTGAGATTTTAGGAACTTACCTATTGATTGAAGTTATCATGAAGCTAAGCAGGCAAAAGTAGATAATTTTTTTCTTTTCTTTTCAATATGGTTTCTGTTGATATCCCAACTAGTTATTATTTTTATTGTTTGGTTCACAATCCAGCAAGTTAAAAACAAATTTCTTTTCACAATCCAACAAGTTAATCATCAACATTCTTACATGTTTGAGAAAATAATGAGTTTCTTAGATCTCTTTGTGTTTCCTCTTCTTCTGAAATCATGGTGATACGGTAACAAATATGCCACCAATTTCAGGAACATAAGAAGAAGAAGAAACACCAAAAGATCCAACAAACTCAATGTTTTCTTGAACTTGTAAGAAATGTTGATGATGACATTGCTCTCCATATTTCTATATATTATTTAAAAAGTTAATTGACATTGCACTCTGTAAAGAATCCTTATAAATATACTTAAAATGAATAATCATTGCACTCTTGCTGGTATGGATGCCTCGGTAATCTTAGTGAGGTAGTCTTCAATTGTTAAAGGAAGAGTCGCTCTCTGTTGCCGTGGATTTTCTCGTCCCTTTCGGTTAGCCACTTTGTCAAGTTGTTCTCTCATGTGGTTTGGTGGTAGGTGACTTGTTATGGTGTTAGATTCTGGTTTTATTGCTTCTGTTTCTCGTCTTAGTTATGACCTTTCCTTTGTGTGTTTGGCTTTGTATTTCCTAAGTTTTCCTTTTTTGGGCTTTAGCTTCCGAGGATGTCCCTTTATCCATCGGCTTAGTTCTCAGTATTGTTTAGTTCTTAGCTTGCAGGATCATTTCTTGGACCGCCGTTGTTGTATCTTTTATCATGAAATATAATCTATCACTTAGACCGAAAAAAAAAGAAGAAAAGAATAATCCTTGTAAAAAATATTAACACAATTCTCCAATAATCCTACAAACAAGTAACAAGAGTAAAAACCCAAAGATGGTCTCACTATTTTATATCAAGTCTAAAATTTGGCAACCTGCAATAGAATCCAAAACCCATGAACTGCTTGCAGCTCTGGCTCTAGCAGATTTGGCCAAGGCTTCAGCATCAGATCTTCTTTGGGTCAGAGTTTTCTTCTTGCTAGGCTCAACACTAAATACTACGATCGTTGAAGCTTCATTATCATCAGAAGAAACAGGCCGCCTACGCAAGATTGTTCCTCCTGCTGCTACAATCAGATCTTGAAGATATCCTTTGTAAGCAAGCTCGAAATCTCCCATAATGTAAAACTTTAGTCCATTAAAAAGTTTTGGTTTCTGCATAATGGAGAATGAAACCATTTAGATGAAATATCCTCAAGTTGGTTGTATCATAGAAAGCATCAAAGAGAGACGAAGCTAACCTTTTTCAAAGCTCTTTGTCTTCCAACATAAGGTCCTTCTCGTACTCCATGAACATCCATGGTAATCTCATATGGCTCCTCGCTTACATATTTTGTATTTTTCATACACGCCTTAATCCCTGCAAGAAAAGATAGACAACACTTAGACAATTTGTTGATTGATAGATTGCAAACATATATGTTTCGTTGTTAATGGGTTAAGAATACTAACAATCAATGGTTAGTATCCATTTCCCCTCCAAGATTGCCATCATGAATTTGAGGGTCCTTTTGCAGGCTCCGTTTTCATTGATTGATGCAATGACATGTGTAACAGTTGGCTCCCAATTCTTTGAGATCGTAACTCCAGTGAGTTCCTCAAATTCTGTAATAACAGTCTGCAATCCAAGCCATTCATCAAATACAAGTTTCAGCTCGAGTGTTGCATATAGTAAAAGAGTAGATATATCCATACCTTCTCTTCAACTGTGAGCCCTGAGCAGGATAAGACCAATTTCTTGGACAATCCATGGAACTGCTTGCTCTGGAGCTCAGCGATGCTTGTTTTTCCAGACACTTGGTTAGGCTGAGAGTGCAGTGGTCTAGAGAAGATAATGAAATATTGTCAGTTGTTTAATTTCAAAAATTGGAATCACATCATAATCCCTATCAATAGATAAAATTGACATACCCTTTAGGAGTACGCTTGCATTTCCTGTCTTTTGAATTAGTCTCTTCACAGGGCAACTTAATGGATGCATCCAAAGGGCATAGCATTACAAAGTTTTCCTATTGATAAGAAAAGGTGTCAAAAGAACTGTGTAAGAGACTATATAGAGCTCCTATAATATATGCAACACTTACATTGTCCCATCTGCATTCTGGCATGAGTTTTGCACACGTAACATGAAAACTATTCTTGCAACTCTTATTGTAACAACCAAGTGCTGCGCCTTTAAGGCCACAGCAGCTGCAACTTATTCTCCGGCTTCTTGTCAACTCCACATCAAGATTCACTACGGTAAGGTTGTTGAAGTATACATTTGGAGCCCTGAAAAAGCAAAACAGTTTCTTACGTTCGGTCAGTTGTGTATCAAAAGCACATATGTCATACACTCATACTCAAGCAGTTTAAATGATTTCAAAAGGCATGATGGTTAATTACAACTATCCAGATTTCTTACCATTCAGCACAGTTTTTGTGAACATGTATGACCTTAGACCCCCCATTAAAATCTGCAGAGACAGGTTCACCTCTGTTGTAGTGAGCCATTTCTCCTGAAGCCTGTTCATATAACATTCCAATTAACAAAATGGTAAAAATCAACAAAGGTCTACATCCAATGTGAGATAGTGAAGCCAACCTCTGTGTCTTCTGAAGACTGACAAAAGGCACATGTGAATATCTTCGTTGAAGGTCCATCACATCGTCGCAAATGTGCACTACCTCCAGATGAAGACTTGTTTATCGCTGAGCATTTCTCCAACACTTGCATGGTATGATTTTCTTTACCCACAGTGGATTTCTTTTTGTTTGTTGAATCGTGTTTATCACTCACTTGATTCAACTCATCAGTTAGGATACCATTTCCATGCGATTGTGTAGCTTTGCTTGAGGTCAAATGGGAATCAAGTTTCAATCTCTTTTCAGAAGTCTTCTTTTGAGTTTTCCCAGATAGATCTTTTAAAGAGGAGCTTGCATTGGATTTTCTTCCCCTCTTCTTCAGAGAGGGTTTCTCGGTGGGACTTTGTTTTTCAGGATCTGTATCAGATGGCCCATGGGCTCGATCCTGATCCCCCTTTCCCACAATTTCTGTTCCAAGTGAGAGCTCATTAGATCCTGTGATCGGGTGAGCTGGAGAGGATTTAATGCTAGATCTTTTCCTCTTTGTCCCCTGCTTTCCATCTGCTTCCTTGGATACATTTAGATCAGACTGAACTCGTGAACTCTGACCCTTGCTTCTTGTAGCCCTTTTAGTTTTCACATTTTCATCAGGATTCCCATCATTCCTGATAATTATGCCAGAAGTCCCACGACTATCTTGTTTCTCACTAATGTTTGCTACTGCAGATGATTCCATGTTGTCCTCCTTTGAAACCTCAACACTTCGTCTAGCAACTTTATTTCTTGCACTTCCTGCTTTGCGGTTTTTACATTTGGATGATGCTACTTTAGATAGTTTCTTTTGAGTAAGATCAATATCACCTCTACCTAGGACCTGCAAATCGATTTAAATTTTGATTTGAATACAACACACTTGATGACACTATCAGAGAAAAGAAAGACCTTGCTGTATCAGATTGAAGAGCTGCCTTTACCTTGGCCTTCATAGGACTAGGTAGAATCTCCGGAGAACAAGGCCTCTGAGTCCATTCAAACATTTCGCTGTCAAACATATCCCCTGGATTAGGCTTTTCTTGCTCATCTGCCTGAAACACTCACAGAGAAAAAAGTAAGATAAAAGGATCCGACGCTCTTTTTGGATATTGGATTGAATCAAGATAACCTCCACCACATAACTAAGATTTATCTAACACATTTCCATAAACTCAAAGTGTATCATGTATCAATACCACAGAACAATATAATGCAATATGAATACTGAAAGATAGCATTAAAATGGCTATTGAGGTTTTCAAGTACATACCTTCGATGGGCTCTCATGATCTGAGTCCATCAAATCGCTGAAAGAGGGAACATCAACAGGTTTAGCATCTAAAAGTTGATCACTTTCTGTGCGCTGACTTGAGTTCTCCCCATCATCTTCATCTCTCAACCAAAAGAAGGGTGACAGATTTCCTTCTTTATTCAGACCAGGATGCTCATCCAAACGAATCACAGTGTTTTCAGTGTAGTGCTTGGGGTTTTCAGCTGACTCGGTAGGTTTAGTTAAACTTTCAGAAGACAGATTATGGAGCAGCTGCACCCTTTTCTTGGTTTGGGATGAAGGTTTCATAACAATAGGCCCATGTGCATCTACATCTGTTTCCTTGGTTTTCCCATACTCTTTCCTCTTGGATGTTCGACCTTTCCTAGATCCCTGACGATTCTTATCACTTGCCTTTTCAATGGAAGCATCTCTCACATGCTTTTCTTTAACTGTAGAAGCATATCACAGAACAGATTATAAAGAAATTCATATATCTCGTCATTCAGATAAAATCCGAGCTTTCACAGCAAAACTAACATTCATGAGGGAACTTGATTACTATGCTTAAAATGAAGTTTGTAATGAGTCAATCACTGTCTTTATTTCATTCAAGATAACCAAAACTGATCCAATTAAGACAGCAGTAAGTACCTAATGATGATGGATCATTCTGGCTTACAAATAAGTTAACCCCAGAAGCATCTTCCATGTTCTTGTAGATGCTCACCAAGCTGTCCATATGAGGGGCACCTCGAATCTCTAACATATAAAAAGTAAAAACATAATCATATTAAAACAAGATGATAGTTTCGTTGACTCTGAGATCAATTCAGAGAATATGAAGTACCTCTACGATGGTAAGGGATTTTACAAACAGGACAAGTAGCATCCATTTTCATCGATTTCACTATACACGCACTGATTGATATTAAAAGAAGACAAGTGTTAAAACTTGATAGAGAGAGATTAATACGAAGAAAGAAAAAACTAAGCAAAGGTACTTACTTGCAAAAGACATGGTTACACGAAAGTGAAACTGCAGAATTAAATAGACTCAAGCTGCCCAAAAAATCGAATTGAAATTGTTAGAAAAGCAATAAAACGAGGTCTTAAATCCACTTCAATTCCCAGACATTACGAAATTAGGGTTCGTCACAAAACTCAGAAAAAGTAAGCACAGAGAGATGCGATTTACCAAATAGGGCACTTGAGTTCTCTTCCCATCCTCTCCAGGTGACTTGTGTCCGCCATTTTCGATCAAACAATAAGAAGGAAGCGACTCCTTTGGGTATATAGATAGATAGGTGACGAAGCGTGTCCTTCAAAGAGGCTTCCCTTGAAAGCTTTAGCGACTAATTAGAAAAAGCGCCAAATTTTCATTTACTTCAAAATATTTCCAATCCCGCCATGGAAACACGCGGTATAATCATTCATTATTCGTTTTGCCCCCATAAGTTTTATTACTTTATGAAATTCAATCCATTACTTTTATCTTCGATACTTTTACCCACATATACTTTTAAACTTTTCATTTTCCCCCTACAAGCATTAATCAACGAAGTAGAATCCGTAAATTTGAACAATTTTGTGTTGAAACAAGAAATTTCTTTTCTGCATTACCAGTAATCTTGGCAAGAACAAGAGCCGTTTTTAAAATGGTGAAACCGGCTACGGTCTCTGACAACAATCTCTCGGTTATAAACCTTTGACACTAGTTTGATTGCTAAATGACAATCTGCACAGACCTTAAGATTCTTCACGACTCGAATCGGCCATCTTTCTGGTGTGCTAATAAGCATAAAAGCAATAGCAATCTTTTCACTGTGGTAAACCAGAGCATTCTCCTTCTCTTCCTCCTCAACATCTACATAAACGTTTGAAATCTGCGGCACGTAACCTTCCAATCTCAATCTATCAGTCATTTCTTTCAGCTTAGCATAAATCATGTCGTTTTGTGGATGAGACTTATCACCCATGAGAAACTCATGAACTCTGTTTCCTACTTCTACTAAGCTGTGACCAGGAACTTTTCTCACACCGTCTCTTAACATTTGTTTCCTTATCTTTTGCACATCGGACCAACGCTGCTCGGATGCATACATATTCGACAAGAGCACATAATCACCGCTGTGGTTTGGTTCTAGTTGTAAGATCTTCATTCTAGCTAACTCTGCTAAATCTGAATCACCATGAACAGTACAAGCTCCTAACAATGTTCTCCAGATTACCACATTTGGCTGCATCGGCATTTTCAGAATGTATTCATAGGCTTTCTTCACTTGCCCAGCTCTAGCTAACAAATCGACCATACAACCAAAATGTTCAATCCTAGGCTCAATCTTATACTCTTCACTCATTCTTCTGAAATACTCAAAACCTTCCTTCACCATCCCGCAATGGCTACATGCGTATAAGATCCCCACAAATGTGATCTCACAAGGTAACAATCCCTCCTTTGATTCCATATTCTTGAAAAGCTCAATTGCTTCTTTTCCAAGGCCATTAACAGCTAAACCAACTATCAAAGAAGTCCACGAGACACTGTTCTTGTCCACCATTTCATCGAAAAGTGTTTTGGCTTCTTCGACTCTTCCGCATCTCGCATACAAATCCAAGAGAACATTGCTGGAATGCAAGTTTCGTGTCAACCCCACTTTGATCATATAGACATGAAATCTCTTACCCAATGTTAAAGCACCAATCTTTGCACAAGCAGACAACAAGCTTACGATTGTGAACCCATCAGGCTTGATACCCTTCAAATCCATCTCAGTATAAAGCGCCAAAGCTTCTTCTGGTTTACCGTTTTCTGCAAACCCATTAATGACAGAGTTCCAAGCCACAAGATCTTTCTCAGGCATTTTATCAAACACCTTGTACGCACTAGCTACATCTCCACAATTGGCGTATAAATGGAGCAGAGAGTTCTGAACATATATCAACGAACCAAACCCACTTCGTATAACAACGGAATGAATCGTCTCTCCTAACCTAACATCCGCCATTTTACCCACAGCTTTAAGAAGAAACGGGTAAGTATGAGTATCTGGCTCGACGAAACCAGAGGCTCTCATCTCACGGTAAAGAGAAACAGCAGAGACGGAATTACCAATCTCGGCGTAGCCTCTGATCAATGTGTTCCAAATAAAGACATTGATGGGTTTCTCAATCTTGGAGAAAACTTTGTGAGCGTAAGACATTGGAGGTGGTGAAGGAAGAGACACGAGGTAGAAGATGAGGTGTTTCCCCAGCTCGGCGTCGGAGATTGAGACTCCATTGCGAATTGAAAAAGCGTGGATTTGTCTGAGTTTCGTTAGCGATGAAACGCCGTAAGTTTGTAAGAGATTTATGCATTTCTCGACCATGGGAAGTAGCAGAACAGAGGTTTCTGAGAATGGAGACATTTTGCTCTGTTCTTGTGGGCATTGTCGTCAATTGCATTAGTATCGAGGCAATTCCATTATCATATACAGTACTATTAAAAGACTTCAAGTGATGAAAACTTCTCAGAACCCTAAAAATCTTCACTTTCTCCAAATAACTTCAGACAGCCGCCGCCACTCTCTGTCCGGAGAACGATGCATCAACTAGTCAAAGGATGGGTTTTGTGTGCTTTCTTTCATTGTTATTCAGATCAAGACTAGCCATTTTGGGTAAGATTCTTCACCTGGTGAGAATGGTTCGTTTCAGGTTTAAGCTCTGATGTTTCTCTTTTTGCTCTTTTCGATTGATTCACCGTGTATCAGAACTTCACAGCCGTAAGGTTTTGGCGTGAGGATTAAACACGGTGCTATATAAAATTCTAAAGGCACATTTGGCTGCATCCATCTGATCATGAAAAGATCATTTGGGCAGTCTTTGCGCTACAGTTTTGTTCTTGTAAGCAATCTGTGTTTTTGAGGTTTCTTCATGGCTTCATTCCAGTTGCTTCTGCTATTGACCTGCACAACTTAAGATTGATGTTTCGATGTTCTGTTTATACAATCAGGATTCTGATCAATTCATCTGTATGCTAACCAAACTTTTATCTCTATGGATATGTGACATCTACAGGATGAGGATTATGGCAAAACACTGAGAAATGAAGAAGACAACAACTCAGTAACTACCTGGATCTTGTGAATGCCCTCCTCCATTTACCCATCTTGACTGCAAAAGCTGGAAATCTTTCAGTGAAGCGGTGTAAGAAATGCAGAAATGCAGAGCTCGGGATACGCGACTTGATGGAAGCCAAAATCTTGATTACATGACTCGAGCTAAACATAAAGACCAGCAGAGTAATATAATACAGTGACCTTGGCTTCTCTTTCTTGGTAGCCCCATAGTGTTATGGCGAAGACTTTTTTAGATATCAGCGTAACTCTCTTTCTGAGACAAAATCTTAATGTACAATAAGAGATTGGTTATCTTGAATGTGTAAGTGTAAACAACTAGCACCAAAGAGGAAAAATACAAAAAGGGTTAAGGTGGTGCCAAATCTGTAATCCTGTAATATCTCCCAGCTAGTGATATGTTTTGGTCATCTGAAATTGCAACATTGTGCTCGACCTTTCAACAAATTATCCCACAGGCACATCATTTGACTAGGAGATTGATAATGTGCAGTGTAATAGTTCAGTGTGCATCCGTATTGGCAAAATTTCCAGCTGTGTGAGTATTCAACAGGCTGAATCGAGGCGTTGAATTTCTCCACCCACAGTCCCATGCTCACATCTTCCATCTTGAACAGCTGTGACAACAAAGTCAAAATAGTTAAACTCGTGGTCAATTCAAAATTTTAGGAGAGAAACCCTTAAGTTCTTGACAGTAAGAAATGGAGATGAAAGTAAGACGATGATAAAGGGTCAGACCCTAAGCTTATGTCTTGAATTCTGAGAAACAATATATTTAGCAATGTTGCTTGAGATTATGTATCCGGGTCCATTGGCATAAGGAGGATATACAGCTTCTGGCCACTCCTGTTACGGTAATAAGTAAGAAAAATTAGTATCTGAGGCTGCTTCTGATTTCTGAATCATACAGACTAAATGCAGGCAAAGAACACAAGCCATTGTACCTCCCATGTAACTGCCCACTTGCCAGTTCTAAGAGGACGATGTCGAAGATTTAGATTTCCCATATAGAGTGATTTTTCTGGAGAGACTCCATCGATTTGTTTCAAAATTGAATCCACTCTTATGAAGGTGTCATCGTCACATTTCATTATATATGGAGCTGTCACATTCTGGACCTGAATGGAAGATATTCAGACTATCATAATCAGATTCGTGTAAAGTAACTACAACGAGGGAAACTGTTAATTTACTGATAGAGATGGAGTCATGAGAGAAATGATCAATACCCCAAATTCACAAATAGCAATTGTCTTAAGGACCACTAGCTCGTAACGATCCATAAAGGGCAGAATCACAATATCTCCAAAATACTCAGCCTCTTTCTTCAGCATTGCATTAACTTCCTTTCTTGGATTCTACACACAGCAGATACAAAACAAATCAACAAAAAAACACATAAACTGCTCAATATTGCAAAGCATAAGAACTTCAAATCAGCAATTCTCCATCTCAATGTTCCAATAAAATCGATCTGCAGTATTAATTTCTTATGTTTTAAAATAAGGAAAGATTGTAAGAACTTACAAGTGCAACAAAGAATCGGGCTACTACATCTGAAGATTTAATAGAAGGATGTTGCATCCATGTCTTTCTCACTGCCATGCGCTCTGAAAAATGGTTGGTTGCAGATAGAACACCCATGAAAAGGCGAAAAGGAGTGCCAGGCAATGGACGAGCTTTCCATTCTGAAGAAAACTCTATAGCTTTCTGAGGTGAGAAACTCGGATGAGATGTTGAAAGAGAAGTAGCATGAACAGAACGAATATCAACATCTCCTGTAATTGCCAGCCCTGTGGCATCTTCTATGGTAAATCCCTGAGAGGCCAGAAATCACAAAATATTTTAAGAAGTTATCAGATTATACTATTAAGTGCTGAGACCAATTCATAAGCCATATACAAGTAGAATGCTCATCTGATATCGCATACCGGTCGATAAGGGAATGAAGACACATGCCTTCCACCAACATTTATATGGAAACCGTCAATTCCAGCTCGCAAAGTTAGGACAAAGACCCTGCCTTCCGCAAAAGGGAATGACCAAGTGACTTCTGGTTTTTGTTCACGTCCTATAAACCGTTTGAACCATGAAGTTGTCTTCGATTCCTTTGAGTCCACCATGTCAATTATGTCATTCTGCGTCCACTTTTCACATCTTCGGAATCCATCAACTGGAAAAGTACATTTACTTAGATGAAGAGAAAAAAAAAAGAAACATAACTACACAGCAATAAAAAACTTAAGGTAATTCAAACTTAGACTTCTGAGCATGGACCTCCTACATTCCGGCAACTATGTTCAATACAAATTTTTCATATATCTGTAATTTGATGTGATGTCAGATATTTCACATCTAAACGAACAACAGTTTATGATGGATGTTCAAAATCTTACCAAGCATGTCTGTGTCCTTCTTGGATGGAGTACCATCACATCTTTGAGCAACCCCCCACTGCATCCTATAACATGTATTGTGTTCAATGACTGGCCGGTGATTCCAATCACCTTTAATTCTAGGGTTCAAATGAAGAATCTTTGGGGGGTATTCCCCGTCCCCTGTCTTCAGCCCTTGCAACTCAACCATAAATTGTGAAACCATAACCATTCCATCGTCTCTTGTCAACCTCGAACGCTGAGGAACAGATTCCTTATGTGCGTACTGTGGAGTTCCAAGAATTGTAATAGAAGATCCAGCAGCAAGACCACAGGGAAGCAACATGATCCTATTGGCTTTATTCAAGTCATCTCCATTCATTGAGATCTGAGAAGGGCATGATTCGACCTTCCCTTCGAATATAGAAGAACTCTCTTCGATCTTATCTACCTCAAACTTATCAACATCTTCCCAAGCCTTGGATCCAAGCAACCAAGCCTCCTCTGCCATTCTTTCAAAGGGTGACATATGAATAGTTCTATTCCTACGCCTCATGACTTCTCCCGATATTCGACCATACCGAAACTGAAGTGGCTGAATCGGTTTAGATCGACTTATCTTCTCTTCTGGTGACACCTTCTGAGTAGTGGAAGGCCCACTTTGATTCTCTTCATCTTCTAGCTTCCGATTCAACATGTCATTGCGTAACGATCCGCTTAAACTAACATCTAAACCAGTATCAGTTAATGCCCCATCCAAACCAGTATCCCCACTCAACATAGCAACCATCTGGATGAAATGTGGGAACTTAAAAGCTAAGAAAACCAAGTAAAACCCAGCAATAGCTAGCAAGAAATGTGACAACTTGAACCTCCTAGAACTATAAACTCCTCCTCTAAAAGATTCGCTTTTTACCCTCTTCATTGTTAAAGTCAGCTATAGTAAGTAACTACCTCCACAATCAAAATCACTCGACTTGTTGATTTACAAGTCGAATTAGTCCCTCAAAACTACAAACGGAGTAGTACCTAAAATGTATCCAATTCATCGAACAACATCATCCAAAGAATTAAAAGAGGTTTATAACCTGAGAATCCGGCAAAGAGAAGGACCCTAAACGCCACAGTAGTAGCTAAATCTCGACACGATCTGAAGATCGATAGAGTTCACGAAATCCAATCAAATCAACCCAAATGTCGCAATTCGACACGGGTCTTTCAAAAAGACGAAATTTGTTTTAAAAAATCTCGTCTTTTGGCGAAGAAGAAATAGAGAAAGTTACTAACTCAAAACCCCCGATGATACAGAGCAAATCGCCACCTGATTTTAGCGGTTTTTTCTCCTTGAATCTAGGGCTAGACGAGAAACAAAACAGAGGAGGAAAAAACCACTCAGGAGATGAAGGAGAAATCGGAAGGAACCTTTTTCATTTTTAAATTCAAAAAACCACCAAAAGTTCTCTCTTTTCTTATCTAACAACATTCTTTTTGAGCAAAATCTGTCTAACAACATTCATATGCGTATAATTTAGTCAAAAATCTTAGTAAGAAAAACGAATCAAGGGTTTAAAACTTTAAAGTCGTTGATTTCTCTGTAATTTATCTCCCAATTTACAGAGATTTTCTGATAGAAATGTTAAAATTAACACTTAGATTTTCTGATAGAAATCAAACAAAATTGAATTTTACTCGGTTTCATTCAGTTTTGGTATAATTGAATAATTACAACTTTAGATGTGTGGCTTAAGAAACATAAAAAATAATAACTTGTAAACATACATATGTTTGTTAATTATGCAAAACATTCCATTTTTACTATTTCGAATGTTGTATTTCTCGGCCGGAAACTTCATACCTGATAATAGTCGTAGATCATAATCTAAATACTTAAAACAATACATGATATCTAGTGTTTTGGAACTGCATATAATTAACTAAAGCTTGACACTTACTACTATTGATCAAATATCTGTGTATAACGTATATCTATCTACAAAACTACATCCTTATATTAAAATGGGGTTTCGAAAATTATTAAATTACAAACGATAATCAAGAGCCAAGAGGTGTATAACACGTATAATGAATCGGACCTTTTAAATAATAATAAAAAGGTCTGAATCGATCTTAAGCAAACTATTGATATTGATATTACTCATAATATAAAGGTAAACGGGTGCACACAAAAATATCGACCCGACCAATACAAAATGCCACACAACTATGTAGATCTTAGTTTTCCAAGACAGGAAAAGAGCTTAGAAAATGCTTAGAGCTGCTAGATCCGGAAACAGAAACCGAAGTAGTATAAGAAGAAGCTGAATAAATATGATGATGAGATGTCTTCATCATCATCATCATCCCATCATTGAAACAATCCTCTTTGTTCTC